TTCCACTGTGTTCATAGCAGCATTATTTGTAATAGCCAGCACTGGGAAGCAACCTAGATGCCCCTCAACTGAAGAGTGGATAGAGAAAATATGGGACATTTACACAATGGAGTACTATTCAACAGAAAATAACAATGGAATCTTGAAATTTGCAAGCAAATGGATGGCACTAGAAGAAACCATGCTGAGCTAGGTAACCCAGTCACAAAAAGAGAAACATGGCATGTACTCTCTCATATATGGATTTTAGACCTTTATCTGTGGAGTGCCAGCCTACAGTCCCATGGCCAGAGAGTCTGGGAAACAGAACCTTCATTCAGTGGCTGATGGAAGCAGACGCAGACTCCTATGGCTAAGCACTGAGCTGACTCAAGATATCCAATGACAGAGAGGGAGGACTGATGACCAAAGGGATTAAGGCTGTGCTGGTTTAACCCCCAGAAACAGCTGACCTGACAAGGGTTAGCTCTTGAATCCCAGGCTGATGCCTGGGAATCCAGCATGGGACTGATCAAGACCCCCTGAATGTGGGTGTCAATGAGGAGGCCTAGGTAATCTATTGAGCCTTGGGTAGTAGATCAGTATTTATCCCGGGTATACAAATGGACTTTGGACTCCCATCCAATAATGAGAGATACACTCTCACCCTGAACTCTTGGGGGAGGGTCTACGCCCTGCCCTGTATAAAATGACAGACTATGGACACCCCCATGGAAGGCCTCACCCTCCAAGGGGAAATGAGGGGATATTGAGGGGGTTGGTGGAATGGCACGGGAGGAGAGGAGGGAAACGGAGAGGGACCTGGAATTGACATGTGAAGCAACCTTGTTTCTAATTTAAAATTAAATTTAAAAATAAAAAAGAACAGATAAGCAATTTAAATAGACCTATAACCCCTAAGGAAATAGAAGCCATCATCAAAAGTCTCCCAACCAAAAAAAAGTCCAGGGTCAGATGGCCGCAGTGCAGAATTCTACCAAAAATTTCAAAGAACAGCTTATACCAATTCTTTGCAAAGTATTCCACGCAATAGAAGCAGAAGGGTCTTTGCCAAACCCTTTCTATGAGGCTTCAATGACCTTGATACCCAAGTCACACAAAGACACAACTAAGAAAGAGAACTTCAGACCAATATCCCTCATGAACTCTGATGCAAAAATACTGGCAAATCGGATCCAAGAACACATCAGAAAAATCATCCACCATGATCAAGTAGGTTTCATTCCAGGGATGCAGGGATGGTTCAACATACAAAAATCCACCAATGTAATTCACCATATAAACAAGCTGAGAAACAAAAATCACATGATCACCTCACTAGATGCTGAAAAAGCCTTTGACAAAATCCAAAACCCCTTCATGATAAAGGTCATGGAGAATTCTGGGAAAACAGGAACATACCTAAACATAATAAAAGCTATATACAGCAAACCAACAGCCAACATCAAACTAAATGGACAGAAACTCAATGCAATTCCGCTAAAATCAGAACCTTCATTCAGTGGCTGACGGAAGCAGAAGCAGACTCCCCTCGGTTAAGTACTGAGCTGAACTCAAGAAAGCCAGTATCAGAGAGGGAGGACTGATGACCAAAGAGATTTAGACTCGGCTGGTTTAACCCCCAGAAACAGCTGACCTGACAAAGGTTAACTCTTGAATCCCAGACATCAGCCTGGGAATCCAGCATGGGACTGATCAAGACCCCCTGAATGTGGGTGTCAGTGAGGAGGCCTAGGTAATCTATTGAGCCTTGGGCAGCAGATCAGTACCCATCCCAAGTATACACACGGACACTGGACTCCCATCCAACAATGTGAGGTGCACTCTCACCCTGAACTCTTGGGGAATGGTCTAGGCCCTGCCCTATATGAAATGACAGACTATGGACACCCCCATAGAGGGCCTCACCCTCCCTGGGGAAATTATGGGATAATGGGGGGGGGTTGGGGGGGAAGGCACGGGAGGAGGGGAGGGAAATGGAGAGGGACCTGGAACTGACTTGTGAAGCAACCTTGTTTCTTATCTAAATTTAAACTGAAAAATAAATTTAAAAATAAAACCCTTCATGGTAAAGGTCTTGGAGAGATCCAGGATAACAGGAACTTACCTTAACATAATAAAAGCAAACCAACAGCCAACATTAAATTAAATGGACAGAATCTCAATGCAATTCCGCTAAAATCAGGAACAAGACAAGGCTGTCCACTCTCTCCATGCCTTTTCAATATTGTCCTTGAAGTTCCAGCTAGAGCAATAAGACAACAAAAGGAGATCAAGGGGATACAAACTGGAAAGAAAGGTCAAACTTTCACTATTTGCAGATGATATGATAGTTTATATAAGTGACCTAAAAAACTCAACCAGGGAACTCCTACAGTTGATAAATGCCTTCAGCAAAGTGGCTGGATACAAGATCTACTCAAGAAAATCAGTAGTCCTACTATATACAGATGATAAATGGGCTGAGAAAGAAATCAGAGAAATATCACCCTTTACAATAGCCACAAACAACATAAAATACCTTGGGGTAACTCTAACCAAACAAGTGAAAGACCTGTATCGCAAGAACTTTCAGTCTTTAAAGAAATAAATTAAAGAAGACACCAGAAAATGGAAAGATCTCCCATGCTCTTGGATAGGTAGTATCAATGTAGTAAAAATGACAATCCTGCCAAAAGCAATCTACAGATTCAATGCAATCCCCCATTAAAATCCCAGCACAATTCTTCACAGACCTTGAAAGAACAATAATCAATTTTGTATGGAAAAGCAAAAGACCCAGGATAGCCAAAACAACCCTGTTCAACAAGGCAACGTCCGGAGGCATTACCATCCCTGACTTCAAGCTGTATTACAGAGCTATAGTCCTGAAAATAGCTTGGTATTGGCACAAAAATAGATAGACCAATGGAATCAAATTGAACACCCTAACATTAACCCATACACATTTGAACACCTGATCTATGACAAAGGAGCTAAAATTATAAAATGGAAAAAGAAAGCATCTTCAGCAAATGGTGCTGGCATAACTGGAGGCTGACACGTAGAAGACTACAGATAGATCCATGTTTATCGCCATGCACAAAACTTAAACCCAAATGAATCAAAGACCTCAACATAAATCCAGCCACAGTGAACCTGTTAGAAGAGAAAGTGGGAGGTACCCTTGAATAAATTAGTACAGAAGACCGCTTCTTGAACATAACTCCAGTAGCACTAAGATAGACAACTAATGAATGGAACCTCCTGAAACTGAGAAGCTTCTGTAAGGCAAAGAGCATAGTCAGCAAGACAAAAAGACAACCCACAGATTGGGAAAAATATTCACTAACCCCACATCTGACAGAGGGCTGATCTACAAAATTTACAAAGAACTCAAGAAGCAATTCTCCAAGAACACCAAAGGATCCAATCAAAAGTTGGGATACAGAACTAAATAGAGAATTCTCAGTTGAGGAGTCTAAAATGGCTGAGAGACACTTAAGAAAGTGTTCAGCATCCCTAGTCATCCAGGAAATGCAAATCAAAACCTCTGAGATTCCATCTTACTCCTGTCAGAATGGCTAAAATAAAAACTCCAATTACAGTTTATGCTGGAAAGGATGCAGAGAAAGGGGAACACTCCTTCACTGCTGGTGGTAGTGCGAATTAATACAGCCATTTTAGAAATCAGTATGGAGATTCCTCAGGAAAAGGGGACTCTGTCTACCACAAGACCCAGCAATTCCTCTCTTAGGCATATACCCAAAAAATGTACATTCATACAACAAGGACGTCTGTTCCACTATGTTCATAGCAGCATTATTTGTAATAGCCAGATCCTGGAAGCAACCTAAATGCCCCTCAACTGAAGAGTGGATAGAGAAAATGTGGTACATTTACACAATGGAGTACTAGTAAGTGGAAAAAAAAACAATGGAATCTTGAAATTTGCAGACAAATGGATGGCACTAGAAGAAACCATCCTGAGTAAGGTAACCCAGTCACAAAAAGATAAACATGGTATGTACTCACTCATATATGGATTTTAGATATGAATCAGAGGAGTGTCAGCATACAATCCCACTGTCCAAGAGTCTGGGAAACAGAACCTTCATCCAGCAACTGACAGAAACAGAGGCAGACACCCACAGCTAAACACTGAACTGAAGTCTTGGAATCCAGTCACAGAAAGGGAGAACTGATGAGCAAAGGAATTAAGACTGGGCTGGTTTAACCCACAGAAACAATTGACCTGAACAAGGGGGAGCTCTTGGACCCCAGATTTATGACTGTGTGGAAAGCATGGGACTGACCCAGACCCCCTGAATGTGGGTATCATTGGGGAGTTCTAGGTAATCTATGGGGCCTTGGGTGGTATTTATCTCTGGTGTACAAATAGACTTTGAGTGCCCATCCCACAATGGAGGATGTTCTCTCAGCCTGGACTCTTGTGGGAGGGCCTAGGCCCTGCCCTGGATGAAATGACAGACTCTGGAGATCCACCATGGAGAGCCTCACTCTCCCTGGGGATCAGAGTGGAGATTGGCTAGGGAACTGGGGGACCTGGAGGCCTGGTGGGGAGGGCGGGGGAGGAAGGGAGGGGGAGGGAGCTGCGATTGACATGTGAAACAAGCTTGTTTCTAACCTAAATTTAAAAAAAGGAAGAGAGAAAAAATTTCTAAATAAATGAAGTAACTAAATGACCTTCATAAGTTAACAAGTGCAGAATAACACTTAAAACAATACACATACTCATCTTGCTACTGATAGTATGTCTCCAGCATTGTCCTTTGAAGTCCGATGGTTTGGGGGCTATCGCAAACATATTATCCCATGTTAAATAATCACCTACACCAAATATAGTTTTCAGCCCTTTGGTTAAAATCAAGTATATGAAGTATGTATTTCTGCCTGTTGCAATGAGCATTTTTACCTGAAGTAGTTCTTCAAATTCAGCAAACATAAAGTATAGCTCAATAAAACTGCAAAATTAAAAACATCTAGTTTTGCTGCTTAGGTCAAATCTATAAGAAAAAGTTTATTTTTATAAAAAAAGTGAAATGCAGAAAATAAGGAGTGATAAAACAGTGCAAGTGCTAAATTAATAACATAAAATGCTTTAGTTTATACTGTAATAACTCCCTTAGACACTATTTACATTTCATTCACTGCTTTAGTATGATACTTCATCTCAGCATCCACAATTGTAACAAATGCTTGGAAAGTCTTTTGTTCAGAAGCAGATGCTGGTCTAACAGAAACACACTTGAAAATGTTCTTGTCTGGATCATAGTGTCCAACACATCTGTGAACTCGGCCTCTGATTAGTCTTGGAAGTTCTCGATCCTGTTTTTCAAAACATAAAAGTCAAAAATTATTTATTGCTTCATCTACAGGTCAATGTCTAATTTATAATATGACCGATTATACATGAATCACTCCAAATGATATGATTCTCTGTGTTGCTTACAAGATATCTAGGCATACACAGATAACTTGTCACAGAGGAATGGCCCTAACCCTGATAAGGCTTCTTATAAACTAGCAAGAAGTTGCTTCCTGGAAAAGTTATTAATCCCCCATAATTACTCATGAACTATATACTCTTTTTGATAAAAGAATTTCAACTGCAATGGGACTGTGGCCTGTTTTGTCCTGTGGTTTTGTTGTTGGTGGTGGTGGTGGTGGTCATGGTCGTGATAGTCACAGACATTGAAAACGAACACTTTAAAATACTCACAATTTCATAAAATACACATGGAAGAGTATTTTTCCCATCTCTCATGAGAAAAGTCTTTGAATACTGTGGGCCAGGTGTGACAGCTGAATCCAGGACAGCTAAGCAACATTGAAATGAGGAAATTAATACTGACAAATATAAATATAATTTAACAAAGAAAACTTGATATTTAAGAGTCATCCCATAACAGCCTCTCCCAGTTCTACTTATACAGTGGTATTTTACAGAGAAATTGTATCCTTTAAGTGTGTTCTATAGGCTGGTTGAATTCCAAAGCTGTCGTAAAAATAAAATGCACTGTATCAACAAATAAGCCTTATAGTTTAGTGGAAGCACCACTAAATTACAATTATAGTGTCAGGTCTTCAGCTTCATACTATTTGGTGACATTGTTCAAACTTGATTTATTTCATTTTCTAAAACAAAATATATTCATGTAAGATGTACAAGAACAGGGAAAAAGAGAGCAAATAAATCACAAATGTTTTCATTACTTCAGGTAATCAAATTTACAAGCCTGTCCCCTTCCAGTTACATTTTGGGGTAGAGTAAAAGCACCTAAGGCCTATCTTTTGATCTAATTTTCAATATTTATGATAGTTTTATGAAACACACTAGCTCTCTAGGCTGATTCATCCTATATAATTGCAAGTTTATATTTTTTATTCTACATCTTTCCATCTCCTTCCCCTTAAGCATATTATTCAAAATCTCTCAAAACTCTATCTTCATCAATAAATACAAGTCCTAATTCATGTTTAGCACCAGAAATTTTTATCAAACAGTGTTATTCAATCACTTAATAACCATTTCCTGAGTATTGGTAGTAGACATCTTGTTATTTTGAAGCCATCCTGCATTTCTAAGAATAAACATAAACTTCTTTTCAAATTTTAGTTACTCTTCACGACACCATAGACATTAGAGTATAATGCCCTAATGACATTAAAAAACATCCAAATATATTACTGACATATTCCTGAAATATTATACCTACCTAATATTTCAAAAAGAAGTACGGTTTTCTGCACTTGTGCACGCCAGTACCTCATGCTTTCAATGACTGCAGAAATGATTCTTAAAGAATTATCTTTGGCCTTTAACTGATGGAAGGGGGCTTCCTTTGTGGGAAAAGCATAGTATAGAAAAGTGTTTCATTATATTCTTTATACTTTTAGAACTATGTAGAGTCTAGGTCCTTATAATAAATAAACATGTAGAATGTGTGAAAAGGGCTACTAAAAGTTTCAATGCAATTAAAGTTCCCAAATTAAAGCCAGCATTACATTGCACTGCATTATAGAGTGAAAAATCAAACTGTGCTTAAAATAAGAAGAAAACTATGTGGCTAAAGAGATGACCCAGTGGTAAAGCACTTGTCATATAAGCTGATGACCTGAGTTTGATCCCCAGAATGCATGAAAAGATGGAATGAGAAAAACTCCACAAAGTTGTCCTCTGGCCTCCACACCTATTTTTTGCTTTCCTGTATTTATGTGCACATATGGATATGCCTGGTGCCCGCAGAAGTCACATAATGGTATCAGATCCCCTGGAACTGGAGTTTCAGAAGGTTGTGAGTCATCTAAAGGGTGCTAGGAACAGAACCCAAGTCTTTCAGAAGTGTGGCCAGTGCTCTTAACCACTGAGCCATCACTTCAGCACCATACTTTATTGGATTTTTTGTTTGTTTGTTTGTTTGTTTGTTTGTCTGAAAATACAGCTTTTAGTTGGAGCTCTTGGGAGGCAAAGGCAAGTCAAACTTTCTGTTGAGTTTGAGGCCAATTAGTCTACATAGTGAGTTCAGGGTAATATCGTGAGATCATTTCTTAAAACAAACAAAAATGAAGCAAAAAAGGTACTAACTTTCAAGGGAAGGGACACAATTTCCTTTCTGGAGTGAGGGTTGTAAAGAGCACTGATGAAACTTTTTTTCAAAGTTTCTTCAAGATTTAAGTATTCCTCCTTGAAGATGCGTCACTGTACTATGGTGACAGCATCGTATCATTCTGTGTACAATGTAGCATAACACTGAAAATCACTCTAAAACATGCTACCTTAGTCATACTTCCAGAAAATAAAGGAATACAGAATCGACCCTAATTGCTTGCTAAACACAATGATGTTCAGATTATGGTCAGAATAAACACAGAGCACTTAAGCAACAGAACACTAACAGCAGTAACAACCTGAACGGGCAGAGGGAGAAAAGGGAAACGATCAAGGCCATGAAAACTAGGGCCACAAAGAGGCACAGACACCGCTACTGTTATGATACTGAAGTAGGTAGAAAACAAAACCTCCACCTCTCCCTGCATTCACATCCTCCCAATGACCCCCATCTGGCTGACCTCTAGCAGAAGCCAGCAAAAAAAGGTTCCCAGGATGAGGCACCAGGTAAAAAAAATGCAGCCCTCCAGAGCACAAAGGCGCACAGAGAAACAATCTATTGGGCCCTGGGATGAGGAGAGAGAGAAAAGATAACCTGTACATATGCAAAAAAATTTCGAAGAGTAATTAGAAATGCAGCTGAGGAAAAAGAACATGTTCTCTAAAACAGAATTCAAACCTGAGAGGTATCACAATATACACCATATTCATCCCAAGAAGAGTCCAGGATGAACAGCACTTTGCAATATGGTGTAGATGGCAAGAAAGACAGGACAGGACCAGATTATAAAGCAGAAGTCAGTGAACTACGGCCTACATTCCAAATCCAACCATCTCTTTGTGTCAACTTTTATCGGACCACAGTCATGCTCATTCATTAATGTGTTGTCTGTGGCTGCTTCCAAGTAACAATAGCAGAATTCAGTCATGAAGTAAAATAACTACAACCAAGACAGTATGATTCATAAAGTCAAATATATTGTTATCTGACACTTTGCAGGAAAATGTTTCTGATAACTTTTGGACAAAAATGACAACAAAAATATGGATTGTTTCTATAAGAAATGGATGAACTATTGTTACCTTAATAATTTCTTAAAAGAGTAAAAACAAGAACCCAGTAAGAAATTCTAAAGCCACTATTTAAAAAATCTGACATTTCAGAAACTAACATTTGTCTACTCCAATGGGAAACTGGATATTTGTATGAATCTGCATATACCATGTATGTATCTTTCTAAATACTTACTACACATGTGTAAACATGCAAATAAGCCATTAATTAATATTTAAATGTTTACCTTCAGAGCATTTTCTCCTGGAGTGTTACCCAACACTGTTTTCTTAAATTGATTTTGTTGAAAACTGGGCTTAAATGCCTGCAGTGCACTGGCTCTCTCTGGGCCTTTCACTGCAGAGCCAGGCAGTTTTGATGAACATGTTTGTCTCAGTACTTCAGTATCTTTGTATCCTTGTAAGTTAGGAAATTCAGGTGTTCCTGACTGTTTCTGTCGCTGAGTTCCCAAACTCACTGCACAGGAATTAAATTCACTATTTGGGGCTGGGCTTGCTATTTTACGCTGAGGTCGGAAATCATTTTTATCCCAAGTTCTCAAGCTGGTGTTTCTGTTGTCACCTCTGTAGCTGTAAAAGTAAAACATAATTCTCCATCTTTTTATCTAGGAACAACTGATGAATTTTCTTATTTTTATGACAATTAGTGGTCTATAGCTTACTAAGTAGTAAGAAATTTCAAACATGTCATTCATTACACAGTGGTACAATATATTATTACTTCTCTTTCCAGATGAAGAGACAGCCTTAGGGAAGTAACAACTCATACAAAGAGATACAGCAGCAAACCACTTGTAAGTTCAGAACTCAGAGAACACCTGTCTCCTAACTCAAGAGTACAGTGCTACAAACATATGCTTACAATATCCAAGCCTTCATATAACAGTAGTCTCCAAGTGAAAATATTTTGAGGACTTTTGCTTAATTCTTTATACATTTATTTTGAAATTTTCTACAAAGTAAAAAAAGAAAGCTACAGCTTGCCTGTAAGGTTATTTAAGTTTTTATGCTTTCCAAAGCCCTACTGACCAACCTCTTTTAGCATTTATTAACCATATTACTGAAAATTACTTATAAAAGCTGGTCAGTGTTGGATGTTATCTAAGACCCAAATGAAAGCATTTCCTAAGCAGGCCAATTAAGAGTGATATGGGTAAGAGCAACTAGTCCAACTCACAAAAACTTAATTATGAATACTGCAAGCATTACAAGGTAATCAACACAACCCACCCTTTGTTTTAAAAGGGGTGGGGGCGAATCTAGTTATCAGCAAAAAGCCTAGGTTTTAAGAGGTATAAGGCTTGTACATTTTGAGAAATACTGTTTTAAAAAGTACAAATTTAAGAAAGAAGAAATCACAGTTATGAATCTTAAGGTTATGAACACTATAAAGGCCATTAGTGTCCAGTAAAATATTAGAATTTTTGTTATTCTTCAGTGTTTGGAACACTCTGTCCTGCAGCTATTTCCTTTGAATGAAACATTACTTCCTAGATGGAAGAAGGAGGCTTAAAGGATTCAGGCAGCTAATGAAATTCACAAGACTCAGAAAATCACAAGATCAGGCCCTTTCCAGATATATAAGCGGCAAACATTGTTGCAGAGATAAAACTCTGGCGTAGCTACCTGCTAAGTGTGCATGGAACTCAGAGATGAGCTTCTGTGAGTCACCACCTATGCTGGGGTAAGCTTTTCCATGATGTAGCTGCCTCTCCATACTCCTATATGTAACCTCCTATATGTAACACACATGCTGTTTTTATTGTAAAAAAGAATCACTATAGAACATGCTATCTTAGTTAGTCATACTTCCAGACAACAAAAACAGAATTTATCCTGGATCCTAAAAAAGATTTTTAGATTTCTGAGTAAAACAAACACAGAGCACTTAAGCCCCCAATTAAAGAAAAATTTTAAAAGCTGTATTAATTCAACTACTGAAACAAGCACTTGCCTAGCCCCAAAGTCTACACATCTCATTGAATCTCTGTGTAGATAGAAGAGTCATTCTAAGCCATGGAGCTTTGCTTTGGATTGGCATACTTTCACTATCAATTGGACTTTTATGCATTAGCCACCACAAAAAAACTAGGTCTTAAGAACTAGGTCTTTAACTCTTACCCTGAAAAAAAAAGAATTCCAAATGGATCAAAGGTCTCAAAATAAAACCTGAAAGTACCAGGGGGAAAAGTCAGGAAAACTCTACAAGATAAAGTATGAGTAAAGGACTTCCTAAATAGAACTGTAGTTGCACAGGAAATAAGACCAGCAATTGACAAATGGGACCTCATGTAATTCAAAAACTTCTGTACAGCAAAGGGCATGCTGGTCAGTCAAGTAATTATGAGAGATTATGAGAGAAAATCTTTGCCAGCTTTATTTCTGTCAGAGAATTAATGTCTAAAATACACAAAGAACTCAAAAACCTAAACACAAAAAAAAGACAAACAGACAACCCAATCAAAAGATAGTGGTCTATAGATTTAAATAGAGTGCTCTCAAAGAAAAGACACAAATGGCTCATGAATATTTTTAAAAGTGTTCATTAGCCACCAAGAAAATGCAAATTTAAAATTTCAAGATTCCATCTCAGAAGGAATAAAATGATAACAAGTACTGACAAGGATGTGGGAAAGAGAAACTCTTATTCAGTGTTGCTGAGAGTGCAACTGATAGAACCACTGTGTAAATTAAGTGTGGAAGCTTCTCAAAAACACTAGAAATATAAGAACCGGTGGAAAGAAGGTAGGGGTGCTATGAAATGCTATCTTCTGGACATGATATGTCAACTGCACTCATAAACTCAGGGGCTGGGGTTACCTGCACAAGATCAGCATAGATACAATAGATGATCTCTAGCCTCACCCCATATTGAGGAAATGTTGGCAGTTGATAGTTTCTGGAGTAGAATCATTGGTTTTTGATGTGCCACTGACAAGACTCCCATGCTTTCGTAGCAGCCTCACACCCATGCACATATGGACCAACTAATTGGCCTTAGTGGATATTTAAAAGGAGGGTGACACACATCTTTTATTCCAGCACTCAGAAGGCAGAGGCAGGGGAAATCTCTGTGTGTTGAAGGCCACCCTGGTTTTTATAGTGAGCTCTGGGACAGGCAGGACTACATACATATACCCTGTCTCAGAAAAAAAAAAGACATGAAGTTGAAAGATATGGAAGAGTTGGAGTAGAAAATAGGTGTTATATATAGTTATATTTCACTGTTTATGTGTAGGAAATTCTCAAATCTAGTAATAGAACTACTATATATCCAAGCTATGTCACTTGGGCATATACCAAAAGGACTGTATATCCTACTATGGAGATACTTCATCCACATTCACTGCAGGTCTAATTACAATATCAAAGAAAACCAGCCTAGATGCCCATTAGCAATGAATAGACAAAAAAATATGATCCCTATATACAGTAGAATTTTATTCAGTTGTAAATAAAAATAAAATTGTGAAATTTTCCAGTAAACTGATGGAACTAGAAAATATAATACTAAGTGAGGAAACCCAGACTCATATGAACAAAAGCCATGTTCTCATATGTGAATCCTGGCTTCAATTTTTTAGACGCATATATTTAACTCAGAGTAACTATAGAAATCAAGAAACTAGAAAGGAGATGTTGAGGAAGTAACTTAAGAGAAGCATAACAGAACATAGGTGATATAAAAATAGAGATTGGTAATACCAGGAGTGGAAGAGTCTATGGAGGAATGATGATAGGCATACAGGGAAGATCAGGGGCATAACTAAAACAAAGTATATGAAAACACTATGTGAAACTTGGAAAAAAATTATAGGTATACCCAACATATACTTTGTCATTTTTACTTAAGTACCTTATGACAACTATGTAACATTTGAAATGCATTACATTGTATAATTTAAAGTGTACAGGAAAGTGTACATCGATTAAATTCAAATACCAGTTATTTATTAATATAGAAATTTCCTAAATGTATTTCTAAGAAAGAAAAAACTTTTTAAGGAAAGAAGAAGAAAAATATAGGCAGACTTACCCCCAACCACTTTGGCTTCTTTCAGCATTTGACTGAATAGATTTAGGCACAAAATCTTGACTTTTCAGGGGATAAGAAGCAGAAGCTGCTATTTGCCTTTCAAGGAAATATCTTGTTAAATACAGTTTGTTTTCAAATTGAGAAATGTAAAATGTATACTAAAAAGTAACATCAGTCAGTGACACACACACATTTATTGGCTCATATTTTTATACATACCCTGTACTCATTGTTTTCTTTAAAGGAGTCACCTCTGGATTCATAGCTTCCCATGTCCAATCTCAAAAGTATAAGAACAGATTAAAAATAAGAGAAATCTTTTTCAAAATAATTTCTAACATTTAATTAATTTAGGAGTTCTAACAAGTCGAAGATGTAGACACAGTCTTCAAGAGCACTTGGTTGTAGGATTTGTTGTTGCCTCTTAATTTTATAAACGTCTTCCTTCCCCACTGTAACAATAGTAGTTTAATCTGTCTTTTCCACATTCAATTGTAATATAGTGCCTTGTAACTGGCAATATAAATTTAGTTGAACCCAATGCTTCTTAAACTTTATTCTACCCCACATCAAGAAATATATCATAACTGGTAACTAGATAGCTAGTATATGATACTAACAGAGACATGGAATCAGAGAGTAAGATACCAAAATTTTAACATTAAGTCTAATCCTTACTATGCATGATATACACTGACATTTTCTATTCTGTTCTATTTACTCTTAAGTTTTAAAGATTTCTATTTTATGTTTTTAATTATAGGGCATACTGCAAAAGAACGTAGGTGCTCATGGAGGACAGAGGATCCCCTGGAGTTGAAGTTATAAGAAGGTTGTAAGATACATACATGAGTGCTAAGAACCAAAATCAGGTCCCCTGAAAGACCAGTAATCCCTTTTAACCTCTAAGCTATCTCCTATCCCCTTACTCTCTTCTTTGAAAAGCTGATTTTGTTCCAGACTAATAGGTCAAGATAAAAATTCCTATTTCATCATGGAATAGTTAGCACTTGTAATTTCTCAAATCAATATTCACACTACTTACAAAACATTTTAAATGGTAAGGAAGATTTTAAATGATGGAGAATGATAATATGAATGCTGAGTTATGCATGTCCATTTTCTACTTTTTTTCCATAGAAAAGAAATGGGGGCCAAAGATGGCTCTCTATGAAGAAAGGTATTTGCCATGCAAGTCTTATATTCTGAGTTCGATACCAGAATCCACAGTGGAATGAAATAACTGACTTCCAAAAGTTGTCCTCTGACCTGTACACACACATACCATCATGTTATCATACACACACACACTCATTCACACATACTAATAATAAAATTCAAATTTTGAAAATGGGAATGTTATATGTTAATTTTATACTTTAAATTCCTAGTGTGGAAGAAAAACAATTTAATGACTATATCAAAGTCGATGGAAGCATACTAAATGAAATTTAAAATATGAGTATTGCTACATTTTAATATTTTATTCACATTAAAAATTTTAAAGTTTGTCCCCAAAATTTAAATATACACAACATAATCTACCAAATCTATTTCAGAATGTCTGCCTATCAGTGCCTTCTTCCAAAGATAAGTAAAAAGTCAATAAACACTGAGCCAGTGAACAAGATGGCATAATGGGAAGGCTTGCTATCAAGCATGATGACCTGATTCTCATATCAGGAACACACATACACACACATACACACACACACACACACACACAAAGTTAAGAATAAAATCAACAAATATTTAAGATCTCCCAACACTCACCACTCAAGGCTACTAGTTCACAGGTGACAGGATTTTAGTGGTCTCACTTAAAATGTGACACACATTAAAAGCTTCCCAACTCCAAAACTTAATTAAGAGTTACAAAAGGCAGTCAATCTCTAAGAAATAGAGCTAGAATATGTAAACTCCCAGCAATGACAACTTATATAACATGCTATTTGAAGCTATATAAAGGCACAGTAGATGAGAGTATCTTAGAACAAAGTGTATTAAATTGAGCAATTTACAAATTGGAATTTTTGACAGTGCTGGAGACTAAAACACATTATATTCAAGTGACAACAAACCAGCTGTTTGACGAAAGTTTGTTCTCTGCTTCAGAGTTAGCCTCTCTTTGCATATCATCACATGACAGAAGCATCAAACATACTTCTCCTTCATCCTTATTTTATATATTCACTAGTCCTGTGCATAAGCACCTCCTAAAGGCCCATCTCCTACTCAATGGTTAAGTTTCAACTTAAGAATTTTCAGAAAAAGAATACGGGAGACAAGGAAAAAAGACAGGCAAAAATGCCCTGAAAAAGCAATGACTAGAGCCAAGTACCAGAAATTCCTGGGCTTGTGCCTTTTCTACAATCTACTTTTTCCACTTTTTCTTATATTCTATATATAGTTATCCCTGTTTCTGAGGTAACTCAAATCCACTCTTTCCTACCAAATACATAAGTCACAGCAATCTATGTTTTGAGAAAGAAAAATAATCTTTGCAACGTAGGTTCCTACTTTATTACAACAAAGGCTCCAGACATAAAGATACTCTATTTAAATGCTAAACCACTGTCGTAGACAAGGCAACTCAGAACTCCTGTGCTGGAATGCTCAGAAGAAGCCAAGTAATCTCTGTATCTGAGCAGTGAAAAGCAGCAGGGACTTACTACAATGAGAAACCCGGTGGCTTTCTACAACCCTCATTCTTAGCTCTTGAAATTTTCACTTTCTCATTTTCTTACCTGTTGGTAGAGGAAGGGAACTGTAACTGTCAGAAACAGTACTGAAACCTGGATCATTCTGAAGTGGATTAGAAGTTAATGGCTGTCTGTTCCTCTTTTTCTGATTGAACAATGGCACAGGCAAACAGCCTACATTGGATATACCAATAAATTAGTAGACAGCAGATAAATAAGTATATCTACTTCTAGATTAATTACCATTAATAATATGTAATGAAGTGTGTCTACTTCTATGTTAATACACCAGTATATTTATATGCCCTTGAAATGATTTTTATAATCTTTTAGAAGTCCTATATAGCTCACCAGTGTCTCAAAAGTCCTTTCTTCATCTATCTTATCACTTTAATTCTTACTTGTAAGCAATTCCTGTCTCTTTTTATCCCTAAACCCTTTCCAAAAGCTACTTATTTTCTTTATGCCCCTCTGCTGCTTGTCTATCTCCTTATAGGCTGCAGAGTATCTATAGAATATATCAAAGCTAAGAAAGAAGAAACTTTGAGCCATGCTTTCTGAAAATCTAACCATGCTTTAGAGTGTGACAGCCAGCCAGCCTCTGGGGCCATAGTTTGAACTTCAACTTAACTAAGATTTTTCCTGGAATCCTGATTAACATGTGGGTTTCCAAGGTCAAAATCTCCAATGTTGAAATTTTTATCTCAATATATTTAGTCTGGAACCCAATAATTTTAACAAATGTCCCAACTATCTATAATGATAATGTCTTAGGGCAGTGGTTCTCAACTTTCCTAATGCTATTTTTCCTTTAATATAGTTCCTCATATTGTGGTGACTCCCAACCATAAAATTATTTCATTGGTACATCATTACTGTAGTTTTGCTACTGTTATGAATTTTAATGTAAATATCTGATGTGCAGAATATCTGATATGAGACTCCCAAGGGAGACACAACCTGCAGGTTGAGAACCACTGTCTTAAAAGAATGGCAATGCCCAACCCAGTGAAAATGAATACTATCACCACTTCCTCCAGATCACAGAAGCAGTTCTTCAGTCAAATAGATAAACAAACAAACTTTAAAAGCTACAAGGGAATTCAGGGCCAAAATAAGTCTTCAAAGCAGGAACTAGAAAAACCTAGATAGGAGCCAAGTTCCTAAATCTCAGTTCAGAAACCCTTGACACTCTACCATCGTCTGGCTGACCCATTCTCATTGTACTGTAGGAGAACACTAACTCTGGAGGCTCTCTAATGAAAAACTAGAATCACGTAGGCTCTTGAGTCAGGCTGCCTGGGTTTTAACTGTGCCTTCAAAGCGAATTTGAAATACAACTTCAAAGTTAAATGTGAGCAGTTTCCTTAAACTCTTTGTGCCCATGATACATACAGAGAAGCAGAGAAGCATAAGAGTAAAGACTCTAAAATCTGAGATTTCTAAGTTTGAGTCCTGTCTCTACCACTCAATAGATTATTTAAGGTCTTCGTGCCTTGGTTTCTTATCTAGAAGACAGAGGCAGTAATAAGGATTAAATAATACTTCTGATTAGGTGTCTAGAATATGGTGTGCCCACCATAAATTATTATTATGATCTTCATTGTACATGATAATCATTTCCCTGGTTCTCATCATTCTTGACTTCTATCCTTACCTCACCTTATAATTGAGAAAATATAAATACGAAATATTAGAAAACAGAAATGTTTCTAAAAAACACAAAAATGTGTTTGTTTCCTGCTTACAAGCATGATTAAGTCAATCATTAAGTTCTGTAGATGCAGAGAAAGCACTAGAGTAAATCACGGAAAGTCAATTTTGCTCTCATCTCTCTACTACTAAGAACTTTGCCTTGACAAATTTACTCTAGCTCTTTTGAATATAAAAGTTCTTCCCAAAATGTTCCTAATAACTATACACATTTTATGTGGTATCTGAAAAATACCTAAAAATAAAAAGTTGGTCAATACCTGCTGTACTTCGAGTTGAATTTTCATTTAGGTTTCTCTTCATTTTCTTCAGTATCAATGCTTTTTTTATTATTTATCACTTGGCATTTACAAAATGAAGCTGACCAAACCTTCAAAGGAAGAAACTTGTAATTCATATTTATCAACAAGATCAACTTTTAAGTCTATGAACACCATGGTTTAAAACTTTCAAATGTGATCACTTCAGTAATTACTTTATGGCAAAGAATTTGAAACATATCCCTATGTTCAAGTAGGTTATAATGGGGTAGATATAATCTTGTTTCCTAAATATATACAGATTTTTCAGACTAATTTATTTCAAAATTCAAGGCCCATTATGAGAATTCTGAACCAAAGCTATAAGAGGCAGGGACTAAAGGCACTGGCAAACCTAGATAAACAAATAAAACATTTTCATTGTACTTTTTCTGCTTTTATCTTCCTAATATATTTATACCTTAATTTAACAAATACTTGCCCATGAAAAGGCTAGACACAAACCCAAATAATTACTGCTGCAAATTCACTCCCCAGTGAGACAGACTGTCGGGAACACAACTAAATGGCAAATCAAACAGGTAAACATTAACGTCCAAATATCACTTGCAAAAGTAACACTCCAAAACAAGGGGCGTAAGACTGCCTCTTTGTGTGTCTTGAACTTGAAAGCAGACTATAGGAAACTTAGATATTTTTGAACCACTCTAGGAACCACAACAGAGATGGAACCATTTTTTTTCTCAACACAGAAACATCAACTCATCCTAAGCCTACAAAGTCTTATAAGGACCAGGACAATCCTGAGTACCTTAAAAATCCTAGAACGATGGCAGGTAAGCCAGGGTCTCCTACAACCCAGACTCCCTCAGACTACTGGTCTTCCTGAGTCTCTACCACACAAGAGCAGGAGCTCCAAGTGTAGGCCAGTATGCCTGAACAACAAATACATGAAGTGCAACATTACCCTCGGGGACGCCTACCCTCAGCTTCCAAGTGAGTGTGTGTGTGTGTGTGTGTGTGTGTGTAAGGGGGTCTAGCCAACTCACGGACACACCCTCCCTAAGGCCTTGGCCTCAGGAGGAGGCCGGACAAAGGGAGACACTTTCCAGTCAGAATTCATGTTCTCTCCCAACACCCCGCCCCTGAGCCATCTGGGGTCCACAAACGGTATTTCCCTTTCTGGAACCCCCTGCCGACACCACGTATAAACGGAGCCCTCAAGTCAACCTCGCCTCCCTCAGCTGCCACGTGGAGTGAAAACGGCCGGCCGCGACGCTGACCTCCCAGCCTCTGAAAAACCCGCGGGAAGCCTGAGCGCAGGCGTGGCAATCCGCGCAGGCGCTTTGGAGGACCACCGTGTGACTGGCTGATTGTGCAAGCGCACTGGGCCACCTGCGCATGAAGGCCTCTCGCGAGAGTTCCAGGAGTTTCTCAACCAGGAAAGTCAAAAGCCACGCCCTTGGCGTTCTCGCGTGTGAGTTGCCGGCATAGGCACGGCGCTACCTCTTTAGTTGTCTGTCCAGAGAGAAACAAGTTGTGGTTATGGATGAGGCAGAGGGAAATTCCCCAGCACAGCCATGCTCTGACCCCCTGTGTCAGAAAATCATGGCCTCTCTTGCCCATTTCTTAGATGCTAGATAATTTTCTAAGATGGCTGATGGCATCCTGGACTGTGCCTAGAAGAGAGTAACTCACAAGGCATCAAAACAAGGTGTGTCTTGCCTGCTCCGACACCATGGATCAGGCAAGGAATTTAGTCTCCAGGAGGCCAGTGGGGAGCTGAGGCCGGTTTTGAACTGACCCCCTCCAAAGCAAAGAACAATAAGGCAGAACCCGGTGCTGCAGGTGTCCAGCAGAGCGAAAGAGCACATGGGCCACAGAGAGACTCTGCAAAGGAAACCGGGTGGTCTGACGACCTGAGCGCTGAGCTCCAAGCCTCCTGCATGGAAAAACTGGGAGTTCTTGGCTCTGTGACTTTGGGGAACTTATCTTTTCTATGTTTACATTTCCTTCCTCAATAAAATAGCAATAATATTTACTTAATTGCCTTAAACTATTAAAAGATATTAAACTGTCCCAGCACATAGTAAGTGCTCAATAAAGGTTAATTCTTGTTTCAAACAGTAGCTGCCATTTTTTGGGTACTTATAGTATAGACCAGCTATTTAGTATAGATGCCTGGGCTCAAAGACAGTGCCCTCTATTGCCCTGCCTTCTGGCTATGTAACATTGCTAAAGGGAAGAAGTGGGAAAGGTGGCTATGGAGGGATGATTATTAATAAAGGTCTACAACTACAAGATAATAAAAATAGGTTTGAAAATCAATAAATAAGAGTGGTAGTAGACAGCAGATTGCTAAATTATAGCAGACCTTGGATGACAGGGTAAGGAATAAACTTTGAGCATTTTTAATTTAGAAAAAGACTTCAACAAAATGTCTCAAAAAGCTGAGTGGTGATGGTGCACATCTTTAATCCCAGGACTCAGAAGGCAGAGGCAAGCAGATCTTTGTGAGTTCGAGGCCAGCCTGGTCTACATAGTGAGTTCCAGGACACCAGGCCCACACAGAAAAACCCTGCCTCATAAAACAAAGTCTGGAAAAAAGGAAAAATATGTATTCATCGTGATTCCAGATAAAAGATTTTTAAAAACATCGATATAATAAGAACCAAGGAAGTGAATTTTGACTTCATATATGCATACATAAATACATGTATAGTACATAACCAAAAAAATAGATTTCTCATTCTTAAAAGGGACAAGAGATCAGGTAATGCTCAGTGGTAGAAAGAGTGGTTGCCTAGAATGAAACCCTGGATTGGATCCTCAGCACAAAAAAATCACAACTTTAACTCTAGTGAGAGCTAAAGCATTTGAGGGAGTGTCAGATTGCTCAAATCATGTTGGCCTGTGGCCATATCTTCAAAGATGATATTGACCGATAATTGATGTGGGAGGTCCCAGTCCACTGTGAGTGGCACCAGCTCTCCCTAAGTGGTTGGATCTGGGCAACGTAAGAAAGCTGGCTGAGCAGGGAGTGCGTAGGCAAGCATTCCTCCATGGGTTCTGCTTCAAGGTCCTGCTTAAATCCCTGTCCTGACTTCCCAAAAGGACGGATTGTAACCCGGAAGTCACTTTCTCCTCCTAAATTGCTTTTGGCTAGAGTGAGTATCCCATCACAACAACAGAAAGCACACTAGAACATCTTCTGACACGGTTTCAGAACAGTCTCAAATTTCCTACAAAATTTCTGGCAATGCTCTAATTTGTTAGCCATACTATGAAGTCAAACTTTGCTGTCCCTTTGTCTTAAACTACGTAATTTCTTTAAGAAATTGGTAATCTCAGCATTCAGGAGCCTGAGTCTGGAGGCTTACAAATTCAAGGCCAGTCTGAGCTACGTAAGGAGTTTGGCAAGACCTGTCCAAAAAAGAAAAAATTATAGTGCTGGAAGTAACACTTTTTTTAGGTATTTAAAACATTAGTCAGTACATGATGACAACTAGGAAGGATTTCATTCAGTATGCTATCAGTTTTTCTCTCAAAAAATAGTTAATAGAAATGAGTAGTTTTTTTTGCTAGGTGCTTTGGGAAGCAGAGTTAGCGCTTTGGTAAACCAGGAGTTAAAATTCCCTTGGAAGTTAACTTGGTATAAGAGAGTGGAAGCCTGTGTTGCTCCAGTTCTAAGCAAAATGCTTTCGCTTTCTGCAGGAGACAAACTGTACACAATAAACAAGGTAAGTATAAGAATTGGCTGCCAATCATTAGTTGCCCGGGAAGTTACTTATTTGGACACATAACAGAAACTTTAGGAATGTGAAAGTGTACTGACCTGTTAAAATTCCACAAAACAAGCCTCAAAGTTCGAGTCACTGGTGCCTGCCACAAGTAAGTTACTGAAGCGGCATTTCCAGAGAGAGACTAGGGCAAAGGACAGAGCAAACCACGGGTCAGCAGGAAAGAAACAACACGGCAGAGTGGGAATGATTCGCCGAAGCTCATTAAAATCCTGAGGGCAAGAGAGCTGTCCTCTCTTACGTTTCCCTGTTTTCCTCAACATGAAGTGTTTAGTGTATGCCAAGGCAGAGAGAAACCAACAGCTACTAGAACTTTGTCTTAGATTACTGCAGTGATTTTGATGTGTAAACAGATTGACTTTGCTTTATATCTGCATTATAATCTCTTAAAGGAAGAATTGAGGCATTGGCTTATTAAACACTGGGGAACATTTTGTATTTTCATCATGTATTTTGTGTGTTTTGCAATTCTGCACTGTATTGGCTGTTTATGTGAACTCTGAAAGAGCAAAATTAGAAGTTCAAAGGAGTCCAAAAATAACAGAGGCACCCTGTTGTCTGTGACAAACACTGGCCTTAATGAGAAACATGGCTCAGGCCTAGCTTACTTTTATGTAACTGTGGAAACTTAATCAGGCTGTTTAGTGCCTCTTTCCTTTACCCTTGCAATGAAGATGTCAGCCCAACCTGTTATATCTTATAAAGTGGATTTATGAATACATTAAGCAAATGTCTGTAGGGAAACATTATAGATTAATCTACCTACCCTGTATGGTAATGATTGCTCTATTGTGTCCAAACAACTTAGTGTTGCTATATAAATATTTCCTGTACTTTAACATTCTTGGCTTTCTGGGTGATTGAGCATGAACTCAAGATATGGCTGAGTCATTTCTCCAAAGCTATATAATCATCTTATTCTGAATAAGTTCCCCTAGTAAGACCCGCCTATAGAACAATGCATTCTAGAAGACAGTTTTTGATGCTAGTAAATGAGATTGCATCCATAGAACTCAAATGATGTAGTTAAAACATATATGTAATATATGTTATTTTGTATACATTATGTTGTAAGATATGTTCAGGCATCAAATGGGCTAGAAAATTACTAACAGTCACTTTTTGTTTGATATTTAGACAATTTAAAAAAAAAACAGAATTTCCAAAAGGCTAATGAGAAAGAAGTCAAAAACGACTGAAAGTCACTTTTTAAAAAATAATTTTTATTGCATTCATTTTGTGTGTGTGTGCGCGCGGGGGAGGGGGGGGGGAGAGACAGAGACAGAGAGACAGCACAGACACACATGTGGAGGTTGGAGAACAACTTTTAGGAGTTGGTTCTCTCCCTAGGGTAGAACTCAGCAAGATTTTTGCCTACTGCACTTCCACTCAGTGTGCCCCGCCGCCAACCCCATAACTGACTGGATTTTGTGTCTCTGAGTGCGGAAAGACATGCTGAGAGAAGGAATGGTGTTCAGCAGGCGCTCGGAGCCCCTGTGCATGACTGTTTACAGAGAGACTCACATGCCTTCAGACCATGAAAGTCCCTTACTCACTTCAGAAATGTTTCTCAATGTCAGTGGAAACATGAACACTGAGTAAGCCACACTGTTGTTTTTGGGAGGACTGGGCTTTATGTGGTGTTATTATTAAAGATAATTATCCTGAACAGAAAACAGAATTTTTTACAGCTGGAGATGCTAACACAATTGTACTTAGATCTGCTGACCATCTGAGGGAGTCGGAAGTTAACAGCTGCATCTCTAGTTGATCTTTGCATATTTTATTCCAAATATGGTAAAGGGAGGGGCTACAAAAGGGAGTGTCCATAGAATAAACAGGCTCAGAAGTTGTGACAGAAACAATTGTTAAATACTGAGAACGCTGTACTTTGCACTTCTCACTTAGCTCTGAACTATTCTGGGGAGTTAGGCGTCTTTTGACCTCCTCTCTTGTGAATTGCAGAAATCAGACCAGACTACTGGGTAAAATGACCTCTTGTGTTGCTGAAGAACCTATTAAAAAGATTGCTATCTTTGGAGGGACTCACGGAAATGAACTGACAGGAGTGTTTCTAGTTACTCACTGGCTAAAGAATGGCGCTGAAATTCAGAGAAAAGGGCTGGAAGTGAAACCATTCATTACCAACCCAAGAGCAGTGGAGAAGTGTGCCAGATACATTGACTGTGACCTGAATCGTGTTTTTAACCTTGAAAACCTTAGGTAAGACTACATTCTGTATTCTGTGAGAGCATATATGTGTGAAGAGCAGTAGTCACTGTGAGAGAAAACCTGTGAATACTCCTAGTCAGTGGTCAGGCCCATACATAGAGTGAGTGCCCTTACCAGAGAAGATCACTTTCACTTTTAATCATGCTGCATTGTAAATTATACAACTACCCAAACTAGGCATCGTGTTCTCTGCTGTAAACTTTTTACAGCTCCAGGCTTTTCTGGTTATTCTTTTATTCACTGTATGCCGTACAGTGTACAACAGCAAAGAAGAAAGGTCTTTATTTTTGATTCATGTATCTTGAAAGATGCAAATATGGTAATGCTTTGCATTAAATTTGTGTTTGGGCAAACTTGGACGACGTGAAAATAAAAAAATAAGAATCTAAATTATTCTCAAAAAATAAAAATAAATTAGTGTTTGGTCATTATACTTGTAAGCATACTGTTTTGTGGGAAATTCTCCACTGTGCTTGCTTATAGGATGTGTTTATGATAAAGTTCTAGCTGAGACAATGATGACAGTTTGATTGATGTGTGTTGAAGGAGAGAGTGGCTTAGCATCCACTGCCTGAGACCATTGGGGCAGTCTGTGGCCTGAGGGGCAGATGTGTTCATCTTTGGTGGTGGGTTATCATCATTGTCGAAAATGAGGGCTGAAGACACTTCCTCCGACCTTTCTGAATCTGGGTTACAGCTAATTAGATAGTTCTATGTAGTGTGTATGGTCACCATACTCTAGGTTGGTAATTATCGGTCTGTTTCATGATATTTACTGTTGAATATGCCTCTGTTTTCTTAGCATCAGGTTTTTTAAAATTAACCTAAAAGTATTGTTATTCATATGATAGGTGCTGTAGAGGTACAAAGCTGTGTCCACGATGGTTTTTTACCCTCAGGTGGTTGATAGACTGTTAGCTAAGGTGTAAAGCACGCAGAGGAGCACCTAACAGAATTGTGTGCTTGTTTTCTTGTCTTAATATTCTAGGTTATGTGAAGCCATGTTCATGCAGCTATCTGAACTGGTGCTGTTTTTTACTTTGAGACTGTATCTTAGTAAAATAACCAGGTTGGCCCTGAGCTTACTCTGTAACGTAGGAAGGTCAGAAGTTTTGACCCTCCTGCCTCACACTGCCTAGTAGTTGGGATTATAGGCCTGTTCTAGCAGGACTGGCCCAGCACTCATTTGTTGATAAACACTAGGTTGTTAGAAAATTCTTGAGTCCAGGTCTTGGCACAGAACAAAAAAAATGTAAATAAAACAAAATTTGCCTTTACAAAATATTTGTTTTCCATGGAAGTTGCACAGGGTTAGGGTTAGGTACTTAGTGCATTAAATAATTTTATTAGCATAATTTCAATTTCAGAAATACTTTTATCTTCATGATTGAGGTTATATCAAGACAATTAATGTTTATTTACCTAAAATAGCTATTAACTAGGTCATATATTACAAGTAATATTTGTTGAAGAATGGATCTTTTAACTTGTTTATGAACCTTCCAGATAATTGTAAAGTGGACTGGTGCCAGTTTTCTTGCTAGGAACAGCCAATAGTAGCCTCTAGGTGACTTCAGCACTTGGGTTCACATTCTGTTTCTTAGTCTGAATTGTCTTTAGAAGCTAAACAGCTCTGACTCATGGTGGTCATGAAAACTGTGAGATAAATAAACCAATAAACCTCTTGTAGGAGTGAACCCCACAAAGCTACCCGCCCAACAGGGCGGGGTCAAGATAGAGATAAAAGGTAGTAAAAGGAAAAGGGGCCTCCCTCTTTTCTCCTGGAAGCCAGCCACGCTTCTAACTCCTGGTATGTGCGACTCTCTCTTTCCCTGATAAATAAATATATTGTTTTTCCCTATATAGCCTCGATTATCGTTATAACCTCTCCTATGAGTTGTCTTCTAAATTGTTGCCTTTTCCTACATTCTTCGTTTCAGTGGTAGCACCATTACCCACAAGTCCCTTATAGAGGCAACCTTAGAGCCATCTCTGCTCTCCAGCCCCCTTTTCTGGTATGATAAGTCCTCCCACATACCCTTGACAGAACTCCACAGGGCAGCCAGGCCTTGCATTCACAGATCTGTAATCTCTGCTTCCCAGGAAGCTGGGGCATGACAAGGGCAGCCTGAGCAACTTATCAAGATCCTGCCTTAAAATAAATAATTCAAAAATGAACTGAGGATATGTCCCAGCATGGATAAGGCTGTGAGTTCTCTCTAATGCTGTAAATATATGTACTCCATAAAGCCAACCTTCCTCTGTGAGCTGATAACACAGCCTCTTACAGGATCTACATGCATTCAGTTTAACCCAGGCTTGTTCTCATACATTCTCCTTGTGGTAGCCACAAGACTGGCCCTAGCATAGAAATCTTTGCCTTTCCCCTGCTGGAAGTTCTCTTTAAATCTCCTGTCTGGAATAGATCTAAGCAACCTACTGTGAAGACTATTTTAACAGTGTGGCTGCTAGTGCTACCCAAGGTCTGCCCCTGTCTATTCTTGCAGTCTGGTCTCATGGGATTCTTCTAATGGTAACTGGGCCCCAGGCATGAAGAACTCAGAGTATCCACTATCTTTCAAAACTGAAAACCTTGACTCTGAGCATCTGAATGGGTAATGGTACCATTTACCCAAATGGAAATAAATAGGTTCTGTAGTCACCTCATGAGATAACATGAGCTAATCATGAGTTAACTCTGCAAATGCCTATGGTGGTGGTGGTGGTGGTGCTGGTGTGTGTGTGTGTATGTTAGCATTAGAAACTTTATTGCAAGTAGAAACTCAGGAATAGTAATGTAAACTTCTTGTTCATAAGCATTGTTTCCAAATGGAGGTGGCCCAGGTGCATTAGCTCCCTAATGTCGCCATGCCTTTGGCTTGTCTATCTTCCCACTGTACTCTTCCTCACATGCACGTTTTTCTTCCTTATGATGCTTGCCTCATCACAAAAGGACTGATGCACCTTCCTGGTTGCAGATGTGACTTCTAAGCAGGACAGATTCTCACACAAACTATTTAAAAAATAGCCAGGCAATAGAAATAGATGGAAGTATGTAAAAATATGTATATTTGAGAAACTTAATAGAGAAGTATAAGTTTAAATCATTATCCTGTATAGAACACCCTTGTAGTTCTCTTCCATAGCCAAACTGAGAGCCTGGATGAAGACAGTAGTGGCAGGCAGGAGAAAAGCAGAGGAAACAAGTGAAATCATAAAAACAATGAACAAAGTAATAAACAAAACTTTGTGAATTTTTGCATCCATAAAACTGTAAATTTTGTTCAGACAGTCAAGGGCCTGTAAGTCTAGCTACTTGGGAGGCTGAGGTAGGAGGCAATCCTCCATCCTTCACAATAGAATAAATTCAAAGCTAGCCTGAAGAAATTAGCAAGACTATCTAAAATTAAAAAAAAAAAAACAAGGAGGGTTGCTGGGACCGTAGTTTGGTGACAGAGGTCTTGCCTAGCTGGACAAGACTCAAACTTCAATCTTAAGTGCTGTTAAAAAAAAAAAAGTGTGGCAATTGCAAGTGGTAAAGAGGGGATGGATAGAGACCCATTTGAGAATACAGTGATTACTTATCAACCCTTGTTCCAGGAAACACATGTAAGTTGTGTAAGCTTGTGCTTTGGGAGTGTTTGTGGTTTGTCATTTGTAAACCATGTCCCTGAATCATTCCCAGTCTCCAATTGAAGATACCCAATAAAGACATGAGCACCTGAGTTTGACCACCTCTTTGCACTAAAACCACAGTGGTGGAGGGTTGTGATGGTCTTGCCCCGTAATAAATACGCAGTGCACCATAACTCCAAGAAAGTGCTTGTCAAATTACAGGATATACTTTTTCAAGGTTGAAGTCATGTAGAAAGTTCCATTTGCAAAGCCCTACCTAAAACCCACCACATAAATAAACCTAACATTTTTAGAAGCACACCAATGCAGCACTGGATATATGGGATCGGGTGGAGGAAATGTGTACTTTTTCATTTACTTCAGATATGCTTTCATGTCCTGCATGGATTTTTAATATGTAGGGTTTACAGCTGATCCTCTGTGTACTGTACCTGTTGTGTATGCGTGTTATCACAGCCATAGATGACATTAATCTTTTTCTTTCTGCTAAAACAGCAAGGAGCTGTCTGAGGATTTGCCTTATGAAGTGAGAAGGGCTCAAGAAATAAATGACTTATTTGGTCCAAAAAATAGTGACAATTCCTACGATGTTGTTTTTGACCTTCACAACACTACTTCGAACATGGGCTGCACTCTTATTCTCGAAGATTCCAGGAATGACTTTTTAATTCAGATGTTTCACTATATTAAGGTAATCTCGATGTCATTAGCATGTGTTAGCTTAGGATCCTTTTTTTTTAAGTCCTTGAAAGATGTCAGGAAGGTGGGAGAAAGAGAAATGGATTGTCTTCCACAGCCAAATGGGAGGCTTGGTGAAGTACTCTGCAAAGGAAATAAAACAATAAACACAATGAACAAATAGTAAAACATCTGTGAATACTTGAATTTACAAAGTTATAAATTTTATCCAGATGGCCACCAAGCATGTGGTATTTGTTTTAAAAAAAACAAGTAAAATTAATATCAAGCATCTCAGTTGCACAGCTTTAGGACGCTCAAGAGATCATTCAGTGTTGACTGAAGTATAAGGACTAAGAGGCTTGGCACCACAGCATCTTGCGGTTGGCCCCACCTGGTGTCTATGCACTTAAATGCTTATGCTCTTCGGCGTGTGTTTCACGGGTACATCCAGACTTCAAGCCAAGCAACTTGGTGCACCCTTGTCTCACTGGAGGTGCAGGTGAATGCTGAGCATGATGACTTATACTCAGCTACAAATGAGGCTCAGAAATCTACAAAATAAAAAATACCACCATCCCGTGTCTACAACTAGAGAAAAATTTGCCAAAACAATAATATCACAAATACTGCATTATATGTTTGTTTTATATAATAAATATTTTTCCTTCCTGGGAGCTGTTATGACTCAATAGAGTGAATTTGACTTGGGTATCCATGAGAATCTGAGTTCAAATGCTGACTTTCCTATTCATTAACCTTGGACAAGATACTCATCTCTAAAAACCTTGCTTCCCTTGTTTTATAAAGTGAGCATAGTAATACTTAGCCCCATGTAAATGCTAAAAGTCTTCAGTGAGACAAAATAGTTAAAGTGTTTAGCTTAAGATGTAGCCTATAGTCCTTTCCCATGACTGGCAGCATAGAGGTCATAAGATTCCTGTAGTTACTGTAAAAGATGTTAGCCAGTGGGAATTTGCCAGAGCTCTGGCAGCCTTCCTTAAACAGTCCAGGAAGAATGGGCACAGCCAAGCTGGCCAAAAATACAAAGTTTGCCCATTGTGAAGAGAGCTGGTTTTACCCATGAGCCCTTCCTCAGCGTGGCACCTGTACCCCCCCCCCAAGGGCATCAGGTCAGCTCCATGACCAAGATCTATGAAGGACAGCAGAGAAATAGTGTCAGGCCCAAGCACTTCAATGGAGGCTCCAAAAGCATGGACCACTGGTTCCTCCAAACACTGGAGGGGTCTAAAGTGGTGGAAAGGGACTAAGATGGTGGCTGCAAGCTAATACCTCGGGGACAGAGATCTGAATAGGATCACTGGACAGGGGGCAGCTGTCAACAAGAAGCGTTGGAACAAAGGATGCTGGTTAATAAATTGCCTCATTTATTTTATAGCCTATTGTCAAGGTTGGCTATTTGTTTCTTTTCTGTTGAGTTTTGACAGTGACTACCTAGTATTTCTGGGGTTGGTGGGGGTGGGGGAGGGGAGACCACGCTGTAGCTATCTTTTTTGTTCATTGAAGAGAAAGTTGAATACTATAGTACCATATGTAGAACCACATGGCTTAGAACCTAGAGGTTAGTCCAGATGTGGGGACACAAACTTTTAAGCCTGGAATTTAGGAGACAGAGGCAGGAGGACCTCTGTGAATTTGAAATAAGCTCATTATACATAGTAAGTTCCAGGCTAGCCAGGCCTACAGAGTGACACTCTGCCTCAACTTGAGACTGGCTCAAATTCTCATTGAAATAATCAGAAGTTGTGGGGGGGAAATCATGTACTATCTGTAGAGATCTGAACCATAAGTAATAAGCAGAATTTAAGGCCAATACTCTGTTAAACAGTAAACGTAAACAAAGATGCAAGAAAAATGTGTTCAGAAGGAATATTTATTTCCTATTTTTGGCTTACATCCTGGAATTTTGTTTTATGCACGTTTTTCCCAGAAAGCTAATATAGTTTTATTTTATATGTAATTCATTTGTATGTTTTCAAAGCTGTAACATGAGTTTTAGAGAATGTTTCACAAGGCTGTCTGGTTAATTTCAATTATGATATAAAGCATATTGGAAGGACTAGTGACTCTATAGCAGCCAAGAGAACAAAACATACTTTGTGCACTAAGAAAGATGTTCTCAATTCTGTTTAGACTTCCTTGGCTCCATTACCCTGCTATGTTTATCTTATTGAGCATCCTTCCCTCAAATACTCAACCACCCGTTCCATTGCCAAGTATCCTGTTGGTAAGTCACACTTCCTACTGTTAGATCTCAGATGTTTTAAACAAGAGTAATTTGAGAGATACTTTACAAGTAATAGAAGCAAATGAAAATTAAAAAAAAAACAATAGCCCTGACTATACAAATAGTGAGGGGCTTGATGCATGGTTAAAATAATTTGTTATAAGTAGAGAACTATATTCAAATACATGTACATAATACAGGCTAAATATATAATATCATTACATAGTTTAAATAAGCCAAAGCTTTGGCCTGAGAATATAGCTCAGTGATATAGTCCTTGTTTAGTATTCTAATACTTCAAAATAGATCGATAGACAGACAGGCAGATAGTCTGACAAACTAAAAGCAAACCAGAGCCTAAATGATACAGGGTAAGGCTGTGTTGTGAGTGTAGCTAGTAGGGAAACTCTTGCATAGCATGCATGAGGGCTCTAATTCAACCTCCAGTACTGCAATAATAATAACAACACAGGATAGATAGTGTGGTTCCATTTGACATTTAATTTAAAAAAAACAAGACTTCTGAAGTCTGACAGATCAGACTTGGTCTATGATATTTATGGTTGGTACTTTTTTCCTAGGTAAAACAAATGTCTGCTAATATGTTGGTAACTTGCAAATAGAGCTGAATTTTAAAAACATCTTAACCAGGAATGCTAGTGTGTTCTCCTTCTGCTTTTGAAACTTTCTTTGAAGTTTATTTATTAAATAATGAATAAAAACAATGAGGTAGGGAGAAAAAAACCCTATTGATTCAACACTTTATAGTCACAAAGACTGTCCATGAAAACTTATTTTAACTGCTACTAACAGTATAAGGACCATTCTAATGCCAAGCTGCCTCAAGCTTACTGGGATCATTCTAGGAAAATTTAATCCCAAAAGGAGGGTTGCAGTTTGCTACAGTCAGCCTCATAGTCAAACCCAAGCGTATCCATTCACACTCCTCACCCCCAACACGGATGAGTAACTAGACACAGTCTTATTAGATTCTAGGCATAACCTCATTTCAAATTTAACACTTCTTATTACCATTGTTTCTTCCTTTCCATTCCGAATGTGTCAGTCATATCCTATGGACTTGAATATTCTGCACTGATAAGAGATCTTGTGTCAAGGTTAATTTTTTGTTTGAAAAAATATTCTCAACTTGGAAAAACAAACTTCAGCAACTGATTCCTCTGCACCATAGCCCTTACTCTCCACATAGATCTACTATTCCACAACATCAGGAGGGACCAGACTCTTTTTATTCTTCTGGAATGTGTCTTCACTGTGGTCACAAGATATCCACAGTAGTTCTAAACATCATATAACAGTAGTTCCTTAAATAAAGAAGCTCTCAGGTCCCTAGAACATCCCTTGTTTTGGGTCTTTAGTCACTAGAGTGCTGGGATTACTGCAAGTGACTTAAGCTACTCAGCGCTTACTGTTGAGCTGAAAACAAAGTACTTTTACCTTGAGCTGTGAATACTCACTCAAAATTCTGATTCTGTTAGAATGAAGAAAGACGAATTGAGGTGGGCAAATAACCTCTCCTACAATACACAGATATATGCAGAAACATAGTTTTGCAGACTTGTACAAATTGTTTATGCATAGACAAATACCTTACCAAGACCTATGATATCATACATGTAAAGAAAGAAAGGTCTATTTTCATATTTAAGAAAATTAAGCTCAACAAAAATTTTACATGTAGATGATAAAAATAAAAAGTTTTAATAGACTAGAAAGTAGTAGAAATTGGTGAAAATAAAATGAGGGTAAAAGAATTTGTGAGTTTGGTGGAATGATGGTATACAGAATTACCATAATCACAAACAGTTTAAAGAATGGAGAAGGTGGTGATTGAAGGGATGATTTTGTGGGAACTTGGCAGGAAAAGGGGACTAGAGAAGTGGTTTAGAGAAAGAATTTTGTAGTAGTGAGGATGGATGCTTAAGCAACCACTGGAAAGACATGATAGTATAGGCACAGTTTTATTGGAGATAGAAAAAATGAATATAATTTTATAGAAAATGAAGAAAATTGTACCATCTTATCAGAAAGATATAATTATATTGTTATAATAAAAGCAAGGATGTTGCTCAAAACCCATGCGAACTAAACCCAAAGCTTAGATAGCTTTCTAACCACACAGACATATTTCTTACTGCTAAAGTAACTAGGAAGTCTATGACAGTTTCTATTTGTGGTTACCTATTACTTGTCAGCCTCACTTTGTCTTCATCTTTTACTAAGTAGTAAGTTTTTAATATTTTGGCAATACTGAAGAACATAAAAAGGAAAAAGGTAACCCTGAGTTCCTACTTCAGCACAGCTCTGTGGGTTTCCATGTTCTGTATTTTCTCTGACATTGTCTCTATTGTTTTCCATGATACTATAAACTGTCATAACACTGGGATTCTAGATTTGTATTTTAAATGCTTAATCTTTCAATGTATTATACTACTTATATAAAAGTGATGTGTCTTCTCTGTACATAGGTATAGAAGTTGGTCCTCAGCCTCAGGGTGTTCTGAGAGCTGATATTTTGGACCAAATGAGAAGAATGATTAGACATGCTCTTGATTTTATACATCATTTCAATGAAGGTGAGTGGTGGGTGCAGTTGTTTCCTTATGTTTATGTACATGACTTAACCATGAGGGGGTGTCTCTGTGTAAAACTTAACCACCAACTATTGAAATGTAATACGAATCTGGGTCATATATGTCCCATTTATGAACTTGTGTGTGTGTGTACCTGTCTCTGTCTCTATTTCTCTTGTGAGTGAGTGAGTGAGTGTGTGTGTGTGTGTGTGTGTGTGTGTGTGTGTGTGTGTGTGTGTCGTCCATGTGAGAACTTTGAGTGTCCTGTTCTAGGACTCTCTGCCTTATTTCTTAGGATAGGATGTTTCATTGAACCTGAAGCTAGGCTTCAGCCGCAGACTGGACAATCTTTCTGATTCCTTTCTTTCAGTGCTTTTGGTTATAGGCACACGTGGGCATACCTGGACTTTTCTTGCCTGTTAGTGCCCAAGCTCATCCTCATGCTTGCCCAGAAAGCACTCTTACTCTTACAAAAATCATCTCTGCTTCCTCAGCACTTCCTCCTTAAAATGCACAAATCACATGACCCAGCAACTCCAAGTCTCAAAGAAGCACGATTGCATGCACATCCAGTGTGTTATATAAGGGCTGGCTATTGCAGCTTTTTCTCCTACAATAAAACAATGAAAATGCCTCAAATGTTCAATGACTGTGAAGCATTAAATAAACTAAAATTGGACAAGTGTTCAAAAGTGTTAATTTTTAAAAATCAGGCTATTAATTTTGAAAACTCAAAATAACTCAGTGAGTACCACCACTTGATCTGCTTGGATATTTAGCTCCACATAAAAAGCAAGGTATAGCTGACCATTCTCATAACGCCAGCACTGTGGGACAAAGACCAGTTAATCCTGAGATTTAATTGGCCAACCAGCCTAGACCAAATACCTGGCTTCCAGTTCTGTAAGAGAACCTATCTCAAAGCAATAAGGTTGAAAGTGACAAAGTACAACACTCAACACCCTGCTATGACTTTCACATGCATACACGTGGGTACACACAACCACACACTCACTTGCAATATACATGCACGCATGTACACACTCATCCACACACAAACACACATTGCAAACCAAAGCATACAGTAAACAAATTGACTTTAAAATAATAGTAAGCTAAGTATGGTGGTGCAGGTCTGTAATCTAAGTTCTGGGAAGGCTAAGTAGGAGATAAATGAGTTCAAGGTTCAAGACCAACCTGGGCTACACAATAAAACCCTGTCCTTATAGTAATTAACTTATTATAACTTACCAGAAAGGGGTGTGTGTGTGTGCATATATATGCCCCAGAAGCTTGAAAAAGACTAGCACTCTGGAGCTTGCTTTCTCACTGCTCTTAGGAACCCCCCATGGCCATTATGTGACTCAGTCCATATTGATATGAAAAGGTTACAGGATGGAAAGCTCAAGGACCCAGGACACAGTCACACAGATCAAGCTGCAGCCTATCAAATGTCAGACATGAGAGCGGAGCTATCCCAGGTCATCCAGCAGCCAGAGAACCTGTGAGCTCACATTGCATGTGTCAGCAAGACAATCAGAAATCAGTCAAAGCCAGTCTAAAGCAGAGGAGCTGCCCACCAACCCAGAGTCACAAGCTCAACATAGGGAGAGAAACCTTAAGTTGCTAAGTTCTGGGCTAGTGTGTTACACAGCAAAAGCCAGCTAGAAGTTATGACACATCTCCCCATTTGAATTCCACTCTTAGAAAAGGAAGGCCATATTTTTAGGCTTCAACCAGAGCACAGTTTAGGCCCTCCATCAGACACAGGTTCCAGTGTTTGCTCAGAGGACCTCCTGTATCTGTAAATTACTCTTGCTAATATTTCTTGGCACTAGGTTGTTAAGTTTTACACCATCTTTGGGAGTTGTACTCCACTGTTGAACAGACTCCCTGCATCCCAAGAGCTCCCTCCTCAGTAGCTGTCATATGTGCAATGCCCTTGGTTAAGGCAAATACCCATTATGCTGAATCCAGCTGGCTTGCTGGATGTCTTTGTGAAGAGGTGCAGTCACACAATGTCAGAAAGGAGAACTCTACCATAAACTCATTGAAATTTTCATCTGAAAGTAATGAACATGAGCCTGCAGAAGGCCAGCATGTTGCTCAAGAACACACAGCCTAGCAAACACTGAAATGTGTACCTTCTGTTTCTATCCCTGTCCCACACACTTGTGGGGAATGTACTGACATGAGTAATTCCAGAGTGTGCTTGGCTTCTTGACATTTATGAGCCTCCATAACAAGTCGACTGTTCGCCTTCCCACACTCCTCACTTTCTACCATTGTTCTTCCTTCCTGAAAGTGTCAGCTTCCCTTTTTCTGGGACATTCCTTTCTAGCTGTGATTAACACATCCCATTTCTTACCATAGGAAAAGAATTTCCTCCCTGTGCTATTGAAGTCTATAAAATAATGGAGAAAGTTGATTATCCCAGGAATGAAAGTGGAGAAGTGGCTGCTGTTATCCATCCTAGTCTTCAGGTAAGATTTGTTTCTTTGAAATACTGAAAATAATAGTAATTCTACTTTGGCATATAATTTTTCCATTTACACAGCATTTTATGCATATTAGCTAATTTTATTAGTATTTAAAGTATCATATCAGTCAGCTTTTCATCACTGTAATGAAATAACTGACACACAAAAAAGTAAGGAAGAGAAAAAAAGTGTTATTCTGCTCACCATTCTGGAGGTTCCAGAGTGGCTGCAGTGCTTTGAGGTTGGGGCAGGAGCACATGATAAAGTAAACTGCACAGACAAAGATGTGAAGTGTTTGCAGGTCAGGACCACAGTCCCCTCCAGAATCCTGGGTGACCTAAGGGCTTCTCTCAAGAAACCACTTCCTACAGATCTGTATCTCTTCCTGATAGGGCCACTCTAGTGCCCAAGCCTTTAATGCCTGGGCCACTGGGAGACAGTACCCATCCCAAACTATAGCAGGGAGGACTCCGGCCCTCTCTGAGTATTTGCCATATGTAATGTATTCTGACTCTAGGGGTACATCATGAATTTGGCCTGTGGTCTCATGTGATCCATAGTCTGGAAACACTAAAGTTCAATATACTATCTAGAAATGATGATAACCAGATGCTGTACCCTCATAAGAAGGAGAGAGAGGCATCCACAAAAGACTTCTAGAATACAAAATGCCTACCCATGAGCAATGGGTAAGGAAAATTATATACATTTTATCTGGGATTTAATTACATTTTGTTTTGTTGTTTCTTAAGACAAGGTTTCCCATTGTTTCCCAGGCTAGTTCAAAGTAATAATTCTCCTATCTCAGCCTCCCAAAGATGGGATTACACTAGTGTACCACCACACCTCAATCTAGCTTTTAATTTCTGAGCCCTCATATTCTTAGAATAGACATTGAGCATGGCATTGTGGCACATGCTGATAATTACAGCACTTGAGAAGCTGAGGACAACCTCAGCTACAGTAGGAAGCCTTGTTTCCAAAAGAGAGGAGATGGGAAGAAAGGATGAAGGAGTATCATATGAAGAAAGGAAAACTCACAACTGTCCCATAGAGACGTAGCTGTGAGTGACAGATCTCCGACTGATATTCTCTGCAGTGAGCCACATAGTTGACACCTCCCGGAACTTGTTTTTCCGGGACATTCCTGACATGGTCCCATGACTCTCCTCAGAATCTCAGTATCATACCTTGCCTGGTTTAATAAAAAATGATGGAATGAAGGAGCTTTCAGGGGAGTTAGGAGACTGAAGTCTGGGAAGATCAAAGGAAAAGGCAGGGAAGACGAGAGACCCCAAACAGCTACACTCCTGTAAGACCTCAGAGAGAAAGAGGTGAACAAGACCTGGAAGGCTGTACAATGCAAAGCTTTTCAACCATGAATACGCATCACCTAGAGAGCTTTCTCTGTTTTAAAAAATAGATTATTATCTCATACAGTGCATCCATCCCAGTCACAATTTCCTCTCCTTCCACTCCTCCCAGCACCCTCACCTCCCCTCTTCCCCAGAAGTTTCCCTTCCAAAAAGAGAGCTTTCTAAAAACAGTGCCAAGGGATCAAGACCAGGCTGGTGAAACCCACAGAAACAGCTGACCTGAACAAGAGGGAGCTCATGGACCCCCAGACTGATAGCTGGGAAACCAGCATAGGACTGATCCAGACCCCCTAGATGTGGGTGTCAGTGAGGGGGTCTTGGCAATCTATGGAGTCTCTGGTAGTGGATCAGGATTTATCCCTAGCAAAAGAATGGATTCCACATAGAGGGATACTCTCTCAGTCTGAACACACAAGGGAGGGCCTAGGCCCTGCTCCAAAGGATATGACAGACTTTGAAGATCCCCCATGGAAGGCCTCACCCTCCCTGGGGAGCAAAAAGGGGATGGGATAGGGGGCTATTGGGGAACAGGGGAAGAGGGAAAGGAGAGGGAACTGGGATTGACATGTAAAACAAGCTTGTTTCTGATTTAAATTAATATTTTAAATAAAAAATGTAAACAGTGCCAAGAATCTCCAATATTCTGACAGTATTGGCTTGAGCATCGGTGGTTGAAAACCACCGATCCAATTCAGACCCTACTCAATGACTCTAATAGCCATCTAATAGCCTCATAAAGCACCCTGCCCACAAATTCAGACCAAGAGAGCACACCCTGCCTGTAGCTTCATGGAAGCCACATGGAAACCAGGAGTCATGAGCAATGGTTTTAAAAGACAGAGTGTAGTAGAGAGGCAGAGAGCAAGCTCAGGAAGCACAGGCTAGCTGACAATGCCACCATAGCCTCAAACACAGGACTGTTCAAGTGTACTCTCTTCAGTGATACTCTTCAATGATAAAAGTCCTGGGGAGGCTGGATGCGGACAGCAACCAACCTGATTAGTGTTGGGTCCCAAAAGTCAGGAAAGATCTTTGGAATTGCTAGACCATAAGGAATGGCTTGAACCAGATCTGGTGGCACAAGGCTGTAATGCCAGCTACTTGGGGAGGCTAAGGCAGGAGGAACACCAGTTAAAGGACTGTTTTGGCCACAAAGTGAGTTCAAAACAAGTCTGAGCAAACTAGTTAGATCCTGTCTCAAAGTACAAGAAATAAGACTTGGAGTATTGCCCAGAACTAACTCTGAAGTTAGTTCTCAGTAGTAAACACACACACACACACACACACACACACACACACACACACACGCAAAGAGAGACAGAGAGACAGAGAGACAGAGACAAAGACAAAGAGAGTTTTCTACAAGAGAGATTGGCAGGCTGTTATCTCAGTAAACATGTTTAAATACCTATTAAGCCTGTTCTCCCTGGGAAGGAAGATTCCAGTTTTGTTTCTGAGATGAGGCCAGCTCCTCCCACTGGTGCAAGAGTATGTTGCCCTCCCAAGAGATTCTGAAGTGCAGCTAGGGCTGAGAAAAACTGCTGTGGGCAGCTCTGCTCAACCTGAATTTATTCACATGCAGATTGTTACTCAGTGAGTCTCAGCAGGGGGTGAAATTCCACTTTTCTAACAGACTGGTGGTGATGCTGCTGCTGCTGGGAAAGAGTAGGAATGCAGAGGCCCAGGCCCTGGCCTAGAGAGCACTTGGCAAGCCCAGCAAAGCTGGAGCTGTTTTAGGGCCCAGGGGTCTGAAGCGTTAGTGTTAGAGCCTCACATACGTCTCAGTGCATCTCTCTCTCGTCTCTCTAATGGAGAATGTCTTTTTAATAGACAATGTTAGTTATCTACAGTGTAACAGAAGAAAATTAGAAACAGGAGAAAAAGCCAAATGTAATTTATGTATTTTGATGTCTCCTGAGAGGATCAAGACTGGAAACCGTTGAACCCTGGAGATCCTGTGTTTGTGTCTCTTGATGGAAAGATTATTACACTGGGTGGAGACTGTACCGTGTACCCGGTGTTTGTGAACGAAGCTGCATATTATGAAAAGAAAGAAGCCTTCGCAAAGACAACGAAACTAACACTTAACGCAAAAAGTATCCGCTCCACTTTGCACTAAAAATCACTGCAAGCTCACAGTTCTAGGGAGTCTTGTGAACCTCTAGGACCACGTAAAACCCCCATGAGCAGGGCTGTGCCTTATTCTAGTTCTTTGCCTCAGCACTTGGCCCTGTGCCTCAAGCAGTAAGCATTCAGGCCAGTTTCTGAAAGGAAAGAATAAATTAATGAATGTCTTTCAAATGTATTTTGAATACACTACATATAGCTCATTCAGACAAGTGTGTTTCTGGTTTCTGTGTTACATTACATTGCATTCTAGTAGCTTAACATAGTTAATGACTTTCACATTCAAAACGTAACATTGAAATTGAGGCTACATGCAATTAGCATGTATCGAGAGCAGTGAGACAGACTGAACATATGTTTTTAAGTAATGCATAAGTACTACTATAAACTAATAGTACAAACTTGGTATTTTTAAGTTTCGACATCTGAATTAATGACAGCATATTAAATGTCCATTTTGTAAACTCCAGCCATAACTGATATGTAACACGAAAAAATAAAAGACCCAGAGACACATATTGGGGTTCAACCTAAAGATCAGGAAAGCAAAGCAGTCAAGCTACCAGAGAGCTCTTACCTCTAAAAGGGCTGGGGTGTTCCTGTCCTCAGTGTGGCTGGAGAATAAATGCCTAATACTGAGACCTTGCTCCTATCTTATATACCTCCCTAATTCTGGGATTAAAGGTGTGTGATCCCAGGTGCTGAGATCATCTTTGTGTGAGCTGTTTCTCTTTAGGACTGGATCAATCTTGTGTAAATCTGGGTGGCCTTAGACTCACAGAGATCTGTCTACTTCTTAATCCTGAGTCCTAGGATTAAAAGTATGTACCTGGATGCTAGGATTAAAGGTATGTACCTGGCTTCTATGGCTTGTGGCTGACTTTGCTTTCTGAATCCTCAGGCAATTTTTAATAAATCATAAATAATAATCGCTACACTGACATCTGTAAGCAATTGCACATCTTTCTGCAGATGAGATGTTAAAGGAAATGAAAGCTGGATGTAAAGGTGGCACGTGAATACATGAAGAAACACTCCCCTCAAAGAGCTAATCATTGTCCTTGGTGTGAAAAGTTTGAAAGAGATACGTTGTTTGCAGCTGCAACTGTCACTCTGAAAGAACACAGTCACCCAGATTCATAATCACAGGGTATGAGGGGCTGATGTTTGGTCCCCAGAAGCCACCATCAGAGATGGTGATGATCAGTAACAGAAGGCAGTGGGCACTAGTGGAAATGTGGCCCAGTCTGTGACTCTGGATCACAAACACATGTTTTCAAGAAGTTCTTCCATGTCTCAAGTGACAAAAATCCCTTCCCTCTCATGAGCTTCCTTAAAAGACCCCTGCTGAGCCTTTCCTCCCTCCCTCCCTATAAAACCTTCCCTCCCTACAGGACCTTCCCTCCTCTCTAAAGTCACAGAAATCATGGAAGGAACATTTTATCCCATGATTTGGACCCCAAGGAACCCACATTTATGGATTCAATATACTTACCAAAAAATATCAGCACTGATGCTGGAGTTAGTAAAGTGCTCACCATACAAATATGAAGACCTGAGTTCAATCCCTAGCACCTAGATAAGAAGTCAGGCACAATGGAGTACAGCTGAAATCCCAGTTCAGGCAGAGGAGGAGACGAGCAGGTCCCTAGGGCTTGCCAGCCAAATCAATAAGCTCAAAAGTCAGAGAGACACTGTCTCAAAAAATAAAGTGGGAGATAACTAGGGAAGATACTTAGCATGGACCTCTGGCCTCCACAAATGTACATACGAAACTGAACACACACACACTATTCATCCAGAGAAAACCCCATTAAGACAATTTCACCCCATAGTCAATGTATTCAACATCTATTTTGTACCTTGCTAAAACTAATCAATGAAATCTATTCTTCCTGTTGAATGTCATAGTTAAAATGTGACATGTCAATCAGCTTCTACATGCAAGTGTTTATTTCTGGTGTCCACTTTCTCTGAGCCAATTTTTACAGCTGTAAATTACAACAAGAAGACTATATTCTTCCACCCAAACTTAATTACAAAAGTTAAAATGTGCAATTTAGATTGCCATGGTTTCAGTGTGCAGATTGATTGTTTCTATAAAGTCTAATTTTTCTTGACTCAATCTTTACAGTCTTCAGAATTCCTAATTATATGTGATCTTGTCTATTGGTCATGATACCCTGAATGCATACTATCTAATTAAATGTGATTTTTTATTTTACATGTATGTGTTTATTTAGTGTATGTGTACATGCAAGCCACAACATATATGTAAAGGTCAGAGAACAATGTTCAGAAGTGGGTTCTGTCTTTCCACCATGTGGATCCCAGGGATCAATCTCAGATTGTCTGTCATGGCTATAAGCACCTTTAGCATCATCACAGTCTATAAATTTTTTATGTGTATGGGTGTTTTGCCTGCATGTATGTCTGTGCACCACATGTGTGTCTGATGCCCTCTAAGACCAGAAGAGTATGTCAGATCTCCTAGAAGTGGAGTTACAGTCATGAATCACCATGTGGGTGCTGGGGACCGAACCCAGGTCCTCAAAAAGAACAGCCAGTGCTCTTAACCATTGAGCCATCTCTCCAGCCCCATGTAATATCATTTTAATCTAGACATATTGTCTGTACATTTTAATCTACACATATACATTTAATCTATACATGTGTGTAGTTTTACCCACTTTCAGTTCTCTTTTATTTTGATTGAGTCTTGTGAAAATCTACATATCCAGTACCCTCACTTATAAAAATGAAGGTGATCATTATAATGCCAACATAATAATGTCATCACTGTTAGGATTAAGCAGCTAATAAACACAAACACTTAGCCCAGTGCATAGTGCCCTAGATGCATTCCATCACTTATTCAAGATTAATACAAAAGGCCCTGCATGGTCTGCCTGTCCCTCCCCACAACCTCCAGACTCATCCCTGCTTTCCTGATCTCTGTTCCAGTATCCTTCATGTTGTTTTGTTCTTATATGACTTCACCCGAGCTGATTCTTTCTCTAGAATTTCTCATCTTCCTGCCATTTCTTCCTCCCAGACTGATATTTCCCTAGCCTATGGTTCAAAATGCAACTCAGCTCTCGCTGTGTGTGCAAAGCCTTCTGAGTCTCCCTCTATCTCACTCAGTCGCCCATTTGCCCTCCTACTCTTCCACCCCACCTTGACAACATTAACATTGTCTTTATCAGCATCTACAATCCAGAATGTGCCAGGAGATACAATTGCATCCCACCAATGCCCCTGCTTTTCGTGTTCTTTCCCAGTCACTTCTTACATCACTTCCATTACTCCGAGGGGAAACTCATTCTATTCTGCACTTCAGGCTTACTAAGGATGGCAGAAAGATGTAGTTGCTCCAAACAACTGGAACACAGGCTGGGTTCTACAGTTCTCAGATACGAGTTCCCTGCTGCCCTGGGCTTTTCCACAATGTTCCTCCTCTTGAAAGCTCATTTTACTGTGATAAAATGCTATACCCAAAGCAACTTGAGGGGAAAAAAATGTTTCATTTTACCTTATTGCTAAGGTGGAAGCTTCACCCCAGCCCCTGGCATCCATATACCCAAAGAGTTTGGAATGTTTTGTTGTTGTTGTTGCTTGTTTTGGGGAGTTTTTTTTGTTTTTGTGTTTGTTTTCATTATTTTTATTACATTTTTTTTAGAAAAGAGTTTGCTTCACTTGTCAATCCCAGCTTCCTCTCCCTCCCCTCCTCCCATGCCCCTCTAGTCCCCCCAGCCTCCCACCCTATCCCCACTCCCTTCCACATAGGGGATATCCAGAGTTGGTCATTTCGTTCAGGGAAGGGTCCAGGCCCTCGCCCAAGAGTCCAGGCTGAGAGAGCATCCCTCTTTGTATTATGGACACACAAAGTCCATTTACATGCCAGGGATAAATACTGGTCTACTGCCCAGGGCCCATAGGTTGCCCAGGCCTCTTCACTGAGTCTCACACTCAGGGGTTCTGGATCAGTCCCATACTGGCCTCCCAGCTGTCGGTCAGGGATCCAAGAGCTCTCCCTTGTTCAGATCAGCTGTCTCTGCTGGTTTTGCCAGCCCATTCTTTGCCAATTTGCTCATCGCTCCTCTCTCTCTGCCACAGGGTTCCATGGGTTCAGTTCAGTGTTTAATTGTGGGTGTTTGCCTCTGCTTCCATCAGTCACTGGATGAAGGCTCCAGGATGGTTATGGACATCAAGTTCATTATCAGGAATGGGCATTCAAGGTGGTCTCTCCACTATTGCTTAGCTTGCCAGTTCATCCTTAACATTCTTTTGTTGGGGTGGGAACATCGAAAGTCTAGTCTCTTAGCAGTTTTTAAGTATAGTCACATGTCCTTTAACATCAGGATTTAATCTGAGAGATTAGGCAATTTTATAGTCATGTGAACACTGTAATGAGTATACAAATAAACTATGACATCATTGGGTAATATAACCTTATGGAACCACTGTTCTATGCATGGTCCTTCCTCAAGAGTCTGGAATGTTATGGTGGAAGTTCCACCCAACTCCCCTCCCCCATCTCCCTCCAAACCCTGCTGCTTCTCAGAAAGCCTACCAAATGATGACGCCTCCCCCAGAGATGCTCAAAACCACTCACACAGGGTATTTAAACTGCCCCCCAGAAATCAGACTCGTGGTTTTTCCGGTCTCCTTTTCCTATCCTGGAAGGTCATCCGGGAGCACTGTATCCATTAAATGTGGGCTTTTTTCTTATTTGGTTTGATTTGGTCTGATTTGGATTGTTGCATCAAGGGAGAGACTTATCGGGGTGTAGAAACTTTTCACTTATAGTTCCATATCCCAGGCCATCATCAAAGATTCAGGAAACTGAATTCAGAGACTGAAAAGCTGTCAAGGAGAAACCCTGCTTACTGGCTTGCTCATGGCTTGCTTGGTCTGCTTTCTTAAATAATCTGAGAAGCATGGCACAGTGAACTGGGACATCCTACATCCATCATTAATCAAAAAACTATCCCATGGGTTTGCCTACAGACCAATATGACGGAGGCATTTTTTTCAGTTTAGGTTCCCTCTATCCAAATGACTCTATCCTGTGTCAGATTGACATAAAAACTAGGCAGCATACATGTCAACTCTTCCCGGATCTGGGGATGCTTGTTTTTAATGTGACTTGGTTTGGGTAAGACCACTGTGTCTTAGAGGTACATTGACACTACCAGATTGGCATTTCACAAAACTCCAAAACAGTAATTAATAAAATTGGAGCAGGAGACAATGTCTCTGTCTTTGCTTAAACAGAGGCACTCCCAGAGTGTTGGGATAGTACATCCTATTCTTTGCAGTATTCACAGCACATAACACAGTGCTTAACACACAGCAGAAGGGTGGCAACTTTTGTCAGACAGATGAGAACTGATCTAGTCAGTGTGAAGTCATCTGGAAGGCCTACTCCTGGGTGATGCTGAAGCCACAGAGGACCACTGGGACAGGAATAGGGAGCCACAGATAGCCACTGTGTCAGGAGGAAGAGCAAATGAGAAGAGGCAGTGAGAGGAACTCCAAAGACTGCAATGATCAAGGCGTTGGTGCTGGGAGATTCAAGTCAGAAACATACCAGAGCTACTGGACCAAAGCATGTCTGAAAGGCCTTGTGCACATCCCCGCACAAAAAAGCCTGAAGGAAAATGGCTTCTTAGGGAACTCCTAAAGCATTTTGACACCTCTACATCCCTCCTACATTGTCTTCAGGATACTTGTCACATAACCTGTAGAGATGCCTTTTATATCTTCCACGCCAACACAGCCATGTGAAACTGATGAACTTTTTGGCATGTAGGCATCAAGTCACTGATAAATGAACTCCTATCCAGGATGTCACAGTGCTCAGACTCCCCCTTTGTGTCACAGTTCTTGGTACTCCTGGAGTGGGGATTTCACAATGTTTAGCACAAAAAGGAACTCCTATAGAAGGTTCTAACTTGGCTGCTATGCATGCTGAGTAGTACAAGAACGTGCCCCATTCAGATATTCACAAAGCAGATGACAGTGATCAAAATGTTACATCTTATCAAACCAGAAAAAAAAGGGAGGGGACTGACATTTCCTGAATTTGGCCAAAGAAAATAATGTAGATTTGATTAAAAAAAAAAACAAGTCAATCAAAACCTGGAGTCTGTTGGAGGTTACTACATTACAAATTGGGAAGAAATTTGCTAGAGCCACAATAGCTGTTGATAGGCTAATTAAGTTCAATGCAAGGATCCCATTTTAGGAAATGAATCTATTAAGTGGAAAAATTAACTTTTGCCACATGAAATGGTGTAAGAACTCACAAGAAAATGGTACTGCATGAGTGTTGATACAAGTGAAATCATAGGTTTGGTGATCAAAAGCTGAAGGTTTCCGCATCCCATGGTTTCCAGTTTCACCACCATCTAGGAGACTAAACCAACTATAGACATGGAAAGGGAAGTGACAGAGTCACACAGTGATAGTTTTGAGATAGCTACTAGAAAATAGAACCAGACAGCTGATGAAGGAAATGGAGAAGTCACCGGGAGCGTGGCAAAGGTGACTGTAGACAGAGGATGCAAAAATATATGACACATGGTATGCAATAAATACTCATATCCTCCCCTTTCTATCACCTTTTGAATATTCATACTTGTGTTCTCTGTTAGTGTGCATAATGAGTGTTCAATTTTAGTTGAATTGGGACTAAGTCCTCACACTCAATACGTGAGGTTCATGCTTATAGAAACGGATTGGATCCCTTCATGGCTGTAGAACTTTGCTATCCTAGTCAGAGAGGTGACAAAGGCAGCATCTCTTGATACCAGTCTGACTAAATTTCTGAGAACCTGGATCTTTGGGGGCAGAAAAAAAGCATTACAACTTTTGTACACTGTTCTACCTGCCTCCGGGTATTGATTTCCCCATTCACTAAACTGGGATCTATATCCACCAACTTAGAAAACTATGTTGTTAAGGTAACCAACCTGAATGGAAGTGCTTTGTAATGCAGCTGACCAAAAAAGGACAATGATTCTTTAAGCAGGTCATTTTTCACAGTATCAACAGCATAAAAATGGTGTTGCCTAATGAACTGGGTCCTCCAGCCATAGAAATACGTCCTACAACAGGTATTCCACACTTTTTCCTATCATCCCACCCAGGATATCACCATTAATAGACCACTCCTAGATTACAGACAAAATCTATTTAACCCAGGGTGTAACTGTGTACCAGTCCCACTCCTTTGTCTTTCAACCAGGGAGATAAGGAAAGAAATAATTCTGAATTAATTATTCAGTAAACTAAGTAAATAAAATCATCAAATGTAGTATTCCCCCTGATAATAAACCAGTTGCAATTTCTGTATTTCATTATAACAAAATCAATATTTTGTGATTCAAATAAAAAACTCTCATCCTATGAGATAACCCAAAAGAATGAGAAATACCCACACACAAGGGTTAGGCTGATGGCAACTCTCATTGCCTCATCATGGAAATCCTGGATGCTACATAGCAGGGAGTTATGCCTTCCTGTCTCAAGGAGAAGCCATGGGTTTATATGTATGCAAGATAGGCAGAGAACCAGAAAAATATGAGGGATAGATTTGAGGAGTTGGAAGGCCTGAACTGCTAACATCATCTGGCTGTGACTTCTTACAACTACTTCAAAAGTTACTGAATCAGACTGGAGAGATTGACTCAGTAGTGAAGAGAACTTGCTGATCTGGCAGATGACCAGAGATGGACTCCCAACACAGCTGACAACCACGTGTAACTCCAGCTCCAGATTTAGTGCCCACTTCTGGCCTCCATACATGCATGCACATGTGTATACTCAGACACACACGTACGCATAAATTAAAATATGATAATTTTTTTAATTTTTAATGATTTATTTTTGTTTTATGTGCATTGGTGCTTTACCTGCATATATGTCTCTGTGACCGTGTCAGATCCCCTGGAACTGTAGTTACAGACAGTTGTGAGCTGCGATATGGATGCTGGGAATTGAACTCAGGTCCTCTGAAAGAGCAGACAGTGCTCAACCGCTGAGTCATCTCTCCAGCCCCAGGGTAAGTCTTTTTTTTTTAATTAAAACAAAGTTGTCAAATACCTCAAATAGGACACCAGATGCATATACACTTTGAGATGTAGACACTGCATAAAGGTGACGTGTAATGCAGCATGCTGGCTCTGCCACTGAATGGGGTCCAGTAGCAATGTTTTAGATCCAAACACCAGCTCTGTTTTACTCAGCTCTGTTAAGAAACACTCTGGGATTTCTAGCTGGTCTGGGATTTCTAGCTGGTCTTAATATTCACACATGCAAGGCAAAGACAAAAGCATGGCCATGACATGACAAAATAAATATTTATTAGAAATCAAAACGATTTTCTCAATGAGACCGAAGTAGTCTTCCACTTTATGATTTCTTGAACATGTAGTTTCACACATGGAACACTAAGAACAAGTCTATAAATTAAATTTTACAAGAATCAGGCACATTCAGTGAGAACAAGATGATAATTCTGTATCTGGAACTAAGATCACAGTAAGTATAAAATAAGATAAAAACATGTAAGTCAATACAGAAGTCAAGTATGGCTTACAGACTCTGGTGAGGGCCTGTCTCCCTAGCCTCACCTGGAGCCAAAGGAGACAGTCACCAGACCCTGAGGAAGGAAAGGAACCTCAATAATACTGTACTCTCTTGGGCAGGTGCCTAAGAGCTCAATGACTTCACAGTACAACTTTTTACTCCCTCCCCCAACACTGGGAAGGAAGGTAAGCACCTATGTTATTCCAGACATATGACATAATGTCTAGAATACAGAACTCTTCCTGGGGAAATGTTTAACTAAAACAGAGTTTGCAGCTACTGTCTGAACATGCTCAGTCCCATCTCTGGAAAACCTCTTCCCCCTGCATTACTGAAATGTAAATCATAGAGTTTTAAGATGTCCTGATAGGCCCATGGAGTCATTGGGTTGTGTTGGTGATGTTGTTATTTTTGTTATTGTGTGACTTTAGACACATTTGACCTTTACACTTGTCATTGTGGTTTTAAGGACAATGCTAACTTCCAAGTCATGTGAGAAGGAAAAAAATAGCCCCTGAATGTGCCAACTACAAAAAGACGCAATGATACAAACTGTGCAGAGGGACACCTGTGGCCCAGACACCAGGACATCCTAGCCTCACCTGCTCTGACTGAGTGTGAACAAGTCCATGCCCATTCCAGAGCTTGAGTGCCCAGGTGTGTGACGAGGGACTTGGTCCTTTTGAGCAGGACGCCTTTTGTTGGGCTTCCCTTACTTGGTTTTGTGAACCCTCTTAGCTTGACCCTCTGGGCTGAAAGCTGGCGGGTAACCCACATTGAGATAAACATACAGTTCAGAAATGGTTTTGCCAACAAATTCCACCCAGATCCTCAGAAAGCAGATCTCCGCAACACGTAAGAAGACCAAGGTCCAGCTAGTTGTTTCTATCTGCCCAATGTCCCCCACCTTCCATTCAAGTGGGAAATGCAGAGCTAAGTGGTTTTATCTACCAACGTCCAAGCCAAAGCAAAGCTGGAATCCTAGCTCCCTAGAGCCAGTGGTTGCCCTTCAAACAAGGACATCTGCTCACCATAACTCAGGGGGCCTCTAGCTACATAACACTGGCCTGTAGAGTGTCTAGGAACCTTAAATTCACCTGATTGCTTTCTTCAAATCTTCCCCCATAAGTGCTCAGCCCATTCCTTGAACACCTCCCAAAGCTGAGGCAGCTGTTTACTGAACTGAGCCACAATCTTATTCTGGTTCTCTCACAACTTCTGCCCATGACTTCCTCTCAGTTATTCTCTTCTCCAAAGACACAAACATGCTTTGTCATCTTCCCCTACTTGAGTGTGACCTTTGAGCACTAGAGACCCCAGAAAGCTGAGCAGGCAGTGATCGCTGCAGACTAGGCCTACCATCCACCACCTCTCTCCCATCTGACCATGCAGGGTGGAATGGCCAACTTTTCACCTGTCCAACTAAGCTGGCACACAGAACCTTCCAGAATGAAGAAAACTTCCAGAGTGGACTGCGTTACCAGTCAGATTAGCTCACCAAATGCCTAATTTTCTAAAGACCCAACTTATTTCTGACCCATTTAGCATTTTTTCAAAAAATCTTCATAATGGCCTTTAATTCCATCTCACACCTGTCCGTGTGACTCCTTTTACTAAATAACAGAAGAGTGGGGGAGGCGGGTATTGTTTCTAGTCACTGGAAAAACTCCTCAATCTCCAACTGACTCTGAAATTTCAAGGAGAAGAAAAATCTGAGGCTGAGGCTAGGACAATAAGCCCCAAGTCTGGCAGACCTTCTTTCCTCAGAAGCCTTCTGCTACAGTTTCAAAGTTCACAGTTAACAAAAGCATATACTAGCAGTGCATTTCAGGTATCTTGCTGAACTCCCCCAATGGGAAACATTATGTGTGCTAGTCACCTCTGAGTTTTAAGACCTGCAAATAGATCAACACTATTTCTGTCTCAGATAAAGTCAGGCCAGCACTGGGGTGAGACTGGAAGAATATGGCCGCCAAACCCTTCCCCCAGGTCACAGCCGGTCTCCCTCAGGCTTCATGTATGTGAGGAACAGCTTATTGTCCTGACTCTGGCTACCCTGAGACCTAGTATATAATACTTACATGCCGTCCAAAAACCCAAAATCTAGTTCTCAGTTTTTAAAGTTACTTACTTCATCTGAAGTAATTTTCATTCAAAACTGAAATGGCTTTCTGAACTGAAAGTAAAAACCTTGTGTCAATTCACTATTAAAAGCATCTCTCAGTTGGAGACAGTTTTAGCCTTGGATTTCATTCCAAGGATGGAGTTCAGTTTCCTGTTTGCTGGAGACTTGGAAGGGCATTTCCATAGCTCACTCCCCTCCTTCAGGAGCAGACCTGGCTTTGCTCAGGTCCTCTGCACATTCTGGGACAGGATCAAAAGTCTCTCACAAATTCAGGAAATGTAGTCATAGTTAGGGAGCTGAGGAGCCTGTGGGCTGGAGCTGGCCCCAACAACAGGACCATAGCAGGAGGGAAGGCTGCTCTCCACACTCCTCAGACCCTACTTCCTCCCTTCCCCAGAATTCATGTCTTGGAGCAGAGTCAACTTGCAGGTGCCTCACCCTAGACTTCAGAAGACTTCCAGACTCAGGACTGCTGGCCATGAGTTTGCACTGACCTCCCTCAAGTCATTAAACCCAAGGTACTTTCCTTTCGAACATGACAGCTTCCCCTCAGCAGCCGCCAGTCGATGTAAGGAGTGTTTTGCTTCTAATTCTGCACTCTGCACAATTCTTCAGCACCAGAACTCGGCCTGCAGTGTCACAGTGTTACTTCAGCTCTAAGTCATGCTTCTACACTGACGTTTCTGGAAATTCATCTAGTTCATCAAATGCGTAGAGGGTGGTTTTGCTATTGCTTCTGGAAGAATCTTGGATTTTGTTCAAATCTGCTGTGGAGAGGGGGCAGACAGAGAGAGAGATAGGGATTAGAAGTGCATACTGTGTGCCCTGTTCCTGGTCATGTTTAGGATTGAACCCAAGGCCCGAACCCAATCGCTCCATTTTCAAAAGTTGTTCTAAATAGTGCTGTAGAGAGTCGGAGCTGGGGAGGACCTCCACTTTCATGGGTGGGAAAACGGGGCCCATCGTCTTAATATACATGAAGTCACATGGTCCACAAAAGAGGATCCCACACCACCTCACAGCAATAGTACCTGTCCGTCTTATGGGCCCTGGATCTTCATTAAGGAAGGACACGTGTGTTTTCCATTCAGTCCATTTCACCTCGTTGATCCTGCAAGGGTGGTCATTGTAATCACTACTGCTTGATCGCATCTCAGTAAGCAAACGTATTTGGGATATTCCAGTTTCTACATAGCTCCTCTTCTGACTGTCACGGACATAGGAATGCTCCACCCTCCCATCAGCTCAAAGGCTGCTGCCCTTCCCTCTTTGTTACCGCAGACACAGCCGGAAGTCCTCATCTGCTACTTTGCACAGCTCTCCCATGCGGAATCTGCTTCTCAGCCATTCCGGTAACATTTTCTCAAACTCCAAGATGGTTCTGGCTCTCTGGAGACATAAAGAAGCCTAAACTGGTTCCTCCAATCCTGCTCTGAGAGCCCTGCTCCCGAGGAGGGTACACCCACAGGTGCCCCATCTAATAGCTCACTCCAGCCTCACTTGTGCCTAATGCATAGGACTTTCTCAAACATGAGAAAGCAGGAACTTGGGGACAAATTATTGAATTGCTTTAAGCTCGACATAGATAGTACATATGGAGATTAGGAGCCTCCTAACTGAAATTCTGGGGCCCTGGAACTGATGGTGGAGGAAAGTTCAGAAGCCAAACATTCCCACACTCTCTCCAGGGCTTGGCCTCCATTGAAGCTTTGCCGTCCATGTGTCCAGTCTTCCTAGAATGTTATGCACAATCCAGTTTTAAAAGTTCAGGTAACTGGAAACCCTCTGTGTCAAACCAAAGCATCTCTCCCTGTAGCCCTGTAAGTCCCTCTGTTCCAGGAAGCTATGCAGATATCTGAAGGGATGCTCTCCTCCTCCACCCCTACTTCCAACAACCACTTCCTAAGCAGCACCATTTCTAGTCAGCTCACAAATCTGGTCCTCACCACAGGACTCACACTGTGAGTTGTTTCCAAGAGTGAGACATGATAAGCTCAGGATAGAACAGAGCAGAAATGTCACCTTCATTGTTCCAGAATCTTACTTCTCCTACTTCAATCTGAGATCCCCTTTCAGTGTCCACATGCCATGCGTGACAATGAACAAACCATCCCCAAAAGCCTGCACTTCCCTGTATGTGCTGTTATTCGAAACCCTGCTCTTGAAGAACCCACATTAAGGCTTAGGCAGATTCTCAGGATGTGTCCCAGACCCATTGGTGCTGATGGCTGTGCAAGACCTCAAGGTGAAGTGTTGAACAAAGTCCCTATAGCAGCCTCTGCTCAGCTCACCTGCAAACGCCAGATCCGCTCACTCTCTTTGGAGACGTTTTCCACCGTCTCCCCCATCAAGGCGATGAGCATGTTGAGGAGGAGGACGAAGGTGAGGATGACATAGGTGATGAGTAGGAAGAGAAAGAGGATGGGGTAGGTGGAGTTCTGCTGGATGTTCAGGTCGCCCAGGCCTATGGTGAGCTTGAAAAGCTCCAGCACCGCATCGCTGAAGCTGCCGTAGGAGCTGCAGTCCTTTTTGTCCTTGGAGCACTTCTCAATCAATGAGGCCAGCGCTGGGGGGACAATGGGTGATCTTGGGCTCTCTGTTGGCTGACTACTCAGAGAACTCATGTGTTCCAATCCATACACTGCTACCTCCCTCCTTCTGGCCTCTCAATTCCCATCTCTCCTCTTCTCTGTTTCCAGTCTCAGGTTCCTCAGAAGCCTAATGAGGCTGGTTTTCCTGCCTGGCCTGCAAAAAGCCCTTATTGTCTACTAAAGCCCACCCTCTTCTCCCCTCCTCTACCCCTACCTTGGCCCTCACTCATCCACAGCCTATCAGGGTTACCATTTGCCCGGTGAGCAACCCTGGCTCCATACAGACTACGGTTCTGATTGTATGTAGCCTGAATGATATTCCCCAAGACTTTGAGATCCTGCATCCTCTCTTGATGTTGTATTATGAGTTCCCTGTGAACAAGATTGGGCTTGCTTTTTCTCTTCTGTCCAACACTCCACAGTAGTGGTTTGTTGCTGGGTGAGCGATGGGTGGGTTCATGTGTGAGTGAATGCTTGGAGGAATACATGAACAGGTGAAGGGTCAAATAAATAAGCAACATTTGTCCCAGACAGATGAGAGCAGCTGCCTAATTTGAGTCAACAGTCACTGGAGGAAGCAAAAAAAATTGATATGGAGAAAAGCATACTAAACATGCCATCTATCTATGCAGTGGTTAGAAATAAAATTGGGTTATGCTGTTCCCACTGGATCTTTAAAATGCTCTCCACATCTCTGGTACCCCACAAACTCTAAGCTCTCACAGAGATATGTGAAGTAAACTGTGAGAGTCACAAGATTTGGAGGGCCAGAGAAAGTTACCTCAGTGTACTAGGTCACTTCTAGTTTTTTATGACTACCCATCAAGTTTCTATGAGCTCTCATTTCCCCATCTGTAGAAGGGGTGAGACCATCTCAGATTATGATGGGTGTGAAAGTCTGGGGCAGTCACAGGCGGGATGGATAAGAGTGACAGCCGTGAGTTAATCCACGGGGTCAAGGGTGATGACACCAACTTGGTCAAGTCTCTGAGAGAAGGAAAAAAGATTCTGCTTGGCAAACACCAGTGTGGCAAGTACTGTATCATCACCGCCTGCTGAGGCTGCTGTGTGTTTTGTCATTCTGATATCCAGATAAAGTGCTTTGCAAGCATGGCAGTTGCTGTTAGTTATGAAGCAATTACCTACTCCAAATCCAAGTAAGAACAGGATGTAAACAAACAAGAACTTCAGAACATCATGCAAAATGACCTGCAAAGAGATGGACATGATCCAAATGTGAGCACGAAGTCGCTGTGCACCATCTCCCTGCTGCCCGCATTAAGCCTGCCTTCACTCTGCCCATTCTCCTCCTCTCCATCCCCCTGAGGCTCTCACAGGCTCCTCTGAGGACCCGCCTCTCCCAGGAAGCCTTCTTCCCTGCTTTGTTCCCAAGGCCTCTCTTCTTTCAACCTCACCTCCCAGGACACAGTCTCTCCTAGTCACCCTGTGCCTTTCTCTATGGAGTCTAACATCGGCACCTCCCTGGGGGCAATGGCATGCCAGAGCCAGTCCATACCAACTTTTAAGAACTGATTGTTGAATTTGCATGAGTGTTGTGACCATAGACATTACTATGAAGAACTGAACTAAACATTCAATTGTAAGATAAATAAGTTCTTGGACTCTCATGAAAAATACCAAATTGTGTGGTTGAAGTGAGCCCAAAGCATAGGTCTCCAATGTTCTAACATATGTAAGTGGTAGCTCTGTAGTGATAGACCTGATGGCTGTAGTAACTAAGTTAAAAATGATAATCACTTCATAGTATATAACTCTACCCAATTCTACACTTTAAATTAACACAAATTCTCAATTGTAGCTCAATAAAAAAAATAAGAAAAAAATTTATTACAAAAATATCCAACCATATGTCAAACACAAGTAGAGCATGCCTATAACCCAAGTGTGCTGAAGGCTGAGGCATGAAGCCCATGAGTTTCTAAACAACCTGAGCTCTAGATTAAGAATTTGTCTCAAAATAAAATTTTAGACACAGGCGGTGGTGACTCACACCTTTAATACCAGCACTCGGAAGGCAGAAGCAGGAGGATCTCTGTGAGTCCTAGGCCAACTTGATCTACAAAGCTACAGAGAAACCCTGTCTGTAAAAACAAATAATTAGCCACATAAATTTATAACTAAGCTACATTTTTAAGATAATAAATATACAAAATTGAGAGCTATCTGGTTATTATGCTACACTATACAATTATCGATAGTCTGAAGGATTCTTTATAGCTATTGTAACCAGATAGTGGAAATTCAATGTAACAATGTGCAACTGTGCATCTCTTCCCAGCTGTGTTAAGTGACATAGTGTCAGCAACTGCAAATCCACCATGGTTAGAATATTTATGCCATGAAAATTGGCAATGCTACAAATATTTAAAACCTGCCAACAAAATGTTCCTTGTTTTATTGACATCTACACCTAGCTTCAAGACAATGACCAGAAATTGTTAAGGCAGATTAAACTTTAAAATGTGGGCTGTCGTAAACTCAAACTCACAACTGGACAAAGTGCAGAGAATGGGTATCTGTGGAGGCTCAGCCACAAATGGGACATCTGTATCATATCCCCTCCCCACAAAACTCAGGGATCACAAAACTCAGGCAAAAAATTGTAAAAACCAAAGTTCGGGGAAGATTAGACAGAAATAGTGTCTTCAGGACATACCAGGAACACTGTGCCTGTAGAACAACTGCATAAGATCAAGCCAACCAGCATTCCAGCATGGAGTGGGCTGGGGCTCACCAGCCCTCACCTTTAGCTGAGGGGCTATTGATAATTGATGGCTTCTAGGGAGAGAAGGCCAGTTTTTCTTCAAGAGTGGGGCCTTGCTAAGCTGACCACATTGCCATGGATGACCCCACATCCAAGAGTATACATGCAGCACAAATTGGAATCATTAGTCGCACGCGCACGTGTGTGTGTGTGTGTGTGTGTGTGTCTGTGTCTGTGTCTGTGTGTCTGTGTGTCTGTGTGTCTGTGTGTCTGTGTGTGTGTGTGTATCTGTGTGTGGCTTTATATGTATTATATATGTATTATATACATATGAGTGTGTGATTTTTTTTTTACAGAAAAGAGAATGTAAAGTTAAGAGTGTTGGGTGAGAGAAGAAGTTAGGCAGAGGAGTCAGGTAAATAGTTAAAATATTACATTTTTAAGTATAGGCTGTGTCTCACTGTTACATAGTGACGAGCACAAGAATGCTATTAACCCTTCCAGTTCATTCTAACAGTTATCCAGCTCAACAAAGTGGTTGCTCTCAGCTTGACTAAAGCTCCAGGCTAAGTCTCCAGGGCTTTATCTCACCTTGCTGCTTACAAAGTAAAACATCAACCAGACTTCAGGTCAGACAGGACAGTGCTCACTTGGCAGCTGCAACCACAGGCTGGTAACATCCTTCATATAGTAAAAATTTATGACAACTGAATGTATGCCATGTAGATACACTTGTCTATGTATTCATGTAGGCATGCACACACACATATATCCCAAAAGGCAATTGTTAGATAGTTTTCCAGCACACTGATCCTCTAGGATCAGAACATCTCCTTCATAAAGTGTGTTCCTATCCAGTGCCCAACAAGCCCAGGTGTTTTAAGGGCTAGACATTTAACATCTGACCAAAACCAAATGAAGACTGTGGCATTTTGGAGGAAGTGCTGGACTACTGATTATCGCTCCAGATCTTAGTTTCCACATCTGAAAAGTGGACACCCTGCCCTCAAAGGGCTGTCTAAACAGTCCCCAGCATACCTTCTGGATCATGACGCTGTACATGCCCATGGACTGGAAGCCTCTCGTGTAGTAGAGCATGTTCGCCCAGCCCAGGGCCATGGCCAGCACAAGGCAGGCGAGGTATTCTTTGTAGGCAAACAAGTACAAGAAGACAGACAGTATCACAAGCACAGCTTGGACAAAACTGTTCAGGAGACACAGGAGACAAGGGCCTTACTTCTCAGCAGTGGGCAGAAACATTCACCACCCCCATCCTTAGCCTCTCCAAGAGTCACCCTGGTGGCTGATGCTGATGAGACATATAAGACTGCCTATCATGCATTCATCTGGGTCTCAGTGCAGTGTAGACTGCATCATTAGCTGCAAGGAAAGGCCAGTGTGGACTGGTTGTTCCTGGCAGAGACTTAAAAATATGTATACATACCGGATGCCAGCAGACTCTAGCATACAGCCCACAAGGCCAGATGGCTTGGAAATCACCTACATGGTTATAATTCCCACATAGATGTGAGAAACACTAGAGTAGATCAGTGATTTAGTAAAAAGTATGTTTTTAATAAAAATTACAAAAGCTTCCAACATTCATACTAATCATAATTCAAACTAATCATAATTTTAAAGTCTCCCAAAACTTACTCTATTATCATTTTAAGGTATGATGTGTACTAAATGACGTAAGACAGTTGTAAAATGACAGTTACCATCTTTCTGCTTATGTGAAGTACCCAGAGTGGTCAAAATTGGAGACTAAATGTAGAAGAGTGGTTGCCAGAGGGGAAGACAGATGGGGTTATGATTTACTCAGTACGGAGTTTCAGTTTCGCAGGAAGAAAAGCAACCTGGAGGCTGGGTGCACAGCCATGTATTCTCCACAGTTTTGAGCTGTGCTTCCAAGTGATTAAGATGGAGGTTTCTGGGGTGGTGAGATGACTCAAGAGGTAACAGTGCTTCCTGCCAAGCCTGACGACCTGAGCTTAATTCCTGGAACTCGTATAGTAGAAGACGAGAACCAACTCCTACACGATGTCCTCTGACTTCCATATATGGCATGACTTCAACTATGGCATGTGGCCTCCATCCCTCCTACACACCACACACACACACACACACACACACACACACACACACACACACACACATACACACAAATAAATATTTTTGAAGAATGTTAAAGGTGGTAGTTTTTTGGGTGATACATCATTGTGGAAGAGGGGGCAGAACAATGAGGGAGCCAGAGGCTGGGTTGGCCTGCTGCAAAGCAGTGTTTTCTGAGTGTGACAGCACTGGTGTGTGTGTGTGTGTGTGTGTGTCACAGTGGCTGTGGCAGCATGTACAAGATCTACATAAGATCGAGCCAACCAAAATGCCAGCATGAGTAGGGGAGGAGCCCACAAAGCCCCACCCATAGCTGAGGAGCTCTTGGCAAGTGATGGCCACCAATATGACCCCTGATGGGCTGCCAGCCTTGTCTATATAATGAGTTCTGAGCCTGCTATAGTGAAACCCTGTCTCCAAAAAACAAAAAGAGTACATGAAATTGGAAGGGAGAAGTGGTAGAGAAATATGAGAGGTAATGAAAGGGTAAGAGTTAAAGTTGGATTTAATGAAGAATGTATTATATATATAATATATAAATGCATTATATTTCTGTATTATATATATTATATATATGAAACTTTTCCAAACAATAAATACAGCATACAACAAACATACATGAAGAAAACATTCTCCTAAACAGTGCCCACACTTACAATTTGGCAGACATCTAGTTGAAAACTCTTGTGCTTCTAATGTCAGACAGTTTCTAAAGTACCTAAACAAATTTAGACAACAGCAAGCTTGCATTTCCTGCAAGTGAAGAACAAAGGCGTGGCTGATGAACTGCACAAGGGCTGTGGTGTGGAAGGGTGGACCCACCTTCCTCCACCATAACAAAACAAAGGAGAATCAGAAGAGCAGGACAAAATGCCCTAGGACCAGAGGCTGGGTAAACATATCTTCTCTGGAACTGTCAAGCTTTCTCATCAGTGGCAGGCACACATGTGTCCTGCATCCTGGAGCAGTGTCTATCTGGCCTGCCTACTTACTGACCCTATCCTTGGGGGAATGAAGAACTCAGTTCATACCTCTAGAGCAGTGGTTTTCAACCTTCCTAATACTGCAGCCCCTTAATACAGTTCTTCATGCTGAGGTGACCCCCACCACCATAAGATTATTTTCTTTGCTACTTCATAGCTGCAATTTTGCTACCGTGATGAATCATAATATAAATATCTGATATGCAGGATGATCTTAGGTGACCCCTGTGAAAGGGTCATTCGACCACATACACACAAAGGGGTCATGACTCTCAGGTTGAGAACCACTGCTCTAGAGGGCAGGCACACATAAAACTGCTAGGTAGGGGCTGGAGAGGGCTCAGCCGGCATAAAGCTTTCTACATGAGCATAAGGACCTGAGTTCAGATCCCCAGCACCCAAGCAAAAAGGCCAGGTGTGGCCATGAGTGCTCATCTTCCCAGCTTGTGGGGAGGCAGGAATAGAAGGATGGGATCCCTGGGGCTTGTTGACTAGCCCATCAGGGAACTCCAGATTCTGTGAAAGACCATTTTCAAAAAGTAAAGGTTCTCAAAAACATAAGGTAGACAATGATTGATAAAGACACCCAACATCAGACTCTGGCCTACATACACACATCTGCACTACTGTACACATGCAGGTACACACACACACACACACACACACACACACACACACACATAACTGGAAACATCAACCTCCTACATATTCATAAGAAAGACGCCAATAGTGTTCCACAGTTGTAGAACCAGCATTCTTCATCCTTGGCTATGACATTCCACAGAGCCAAGCTGAGTCTGCCTCTGCTCATTAAGGGCAGGGTCAGAGGAGTCCTCGGTGACAGCTGCATATGACTTCATACAGAGAGGCTGCTAAGCCGGGCTTTCTCACTGAGGCCCATGCCACCAACACAGCAACAGCTGGGGTTCTGACACTGCTGGGCACTGCATCATGGTGTCTGGCTTACTACCCTGCTCTGAGAACTCCAGGAGTGAGGTATCATTGAGGCTAGAAGGGATTGCCCTGATACACTGCTGTGGGTAAACACCAATAGGATGGCCCAAGCCTCTGCTTCTCTGGGGTGCCTGCCATTTGGGGCTCTGAGAGATGGGGTCAGCCTTCCCATGCCATCAGGACAGGCAAGGCTCTGTCCTAAGGTCTGCTGATCCTCTTCACAGGCATCTACATACATCTCCATCTAAAAAACGAAGGAGGGTCTCTGAACAATAATGGTAGCAGGGTGCTTGGACATCAGTTGGAGGGCTATTCCCTAGAGTCTTCAGACCTTCCCATGAGTTGTGATCAAAGGGACAGATCTACTTACAAGACAAAATGAAACCAGGCATCCGACAGGATGGACTGCAGATCGGAGGGCCTCAGCAGAAAAATGGCAATGCCCTGGAGTCAACAGAAAAGAAAGGCTTTAACCCTCTTCCTGCCCTCACCCAAGGCTTTAGGAGATATGCTCCAGTGGGGATTCTGGTGGGCTCTCTGTATTTGACAGCTCAGCTAGTGTCCAGGGTGACCTGGAGGACATCACTGACACCTCACTGAGGGTGACCCCTCCAACAGGCTTCTCACTCCTGCCCCCAGAAACTATAGCTACCCACCAAGTGTGGCCTAATTTCCCAGCCTCTGAGCTTTTGTGTCTGCTTTTTCTTATGGTCTCCCTGTCCTGTCCTACTGTACTGATGAAGCTCCCATCCCTGCTCCCACTCCCAGACAAGTCATCTCCCTCCCTCTAAACACTGCTCTGATCCACCATACAGTCTAAATGTTAGTGCCCATTAGCTCCCTTACCAAGCTGAGCTTAAGAAAGGCAAATTCCCTTCATCCCTGTCACACATGCATCCCAGTGTCCCATATACAAAAGATTGATTCATTGGCTGGTTGAAAGGCTAAGCAGGTAGGTACCTGAGTGGGTGGGTGGATACACAAACAGATGGGGAAATGATTGAAAAGAGGACAGAAGTATGGTGCCGATGTTGTGTAGGATGTGTAATGGATGAATGAGTAACTGATAGATGATAAAAGGTGGGTAAAAATGGTAGAATCAAGAGGGAAGAATGATAGAGTGGTTTGAAGGATATATACATGGTGGACAACTCAACAGATGAATGGAATAGTGAATGGAGCCAATAGAATAGGCCTGTTTCACTCATTATTCTCTGTGCTATACCTTAGGACTCTAAGGCCTGGAAAGGAAATGTCTTCCTGAAACCCCTACAGTAGTGGCAACACAGGCTGGGATGGAAGCAGCCCTGCTCCCACCCTGCTGGCCTCAAGGGGCATTCTAGAATGGTAGAGAAACGTACTCACCTCTTTCACAGAGATGCACGTGGCCCAGATAAGAACAAACATCCTCCCTAGGAGTTGCAGCCAACTCATCTTGTGTGTCAGGGCCAAGGGGTGTGGGAGGGCCTGGGGAGTAAGGGAAGAAGATGGTAAGGGTGAGGAATGGGGAGGGAAGGACACCAGCTCTGGAGGAATCAAGCTGTATATGCATCCTGGGCCTTCCAGATGGACCAGAGGTCACTATGGAACCTTGTCTCTGGCCCTGCCTGCCCCTCAATGAGAACCCAGAACTTTGCAGTGAGAGGGACAATGCTCTATTTTCTAACAACACCATTACATGGTTTTCTCTGACCACATCCACTACCAGACACTCAACGGGGCCTCCTCCCATAGTTCAGTGAAGTCAAGACTCAGCACTCCACTAGCAGATGGGAAACTGAAGCCTAGAGTAGTGGAGAAGTCTGACCAAGTAACCTCTCCTCCACCCACCTCCTGTGGGCCTCACAGCAGACACCGTGTTTTCTAGACCCACATAGAAGGCCGGGGAAGGCCCCAACTCTCTCCCAGTATGAATCTCCCTAGAACTGTTCCACCTACAGCTTGGCTAACTAGTCTGTTCACTGGAAACTTTAAGAAAAGTTGGACAACAGCATGAAAATTCCTTAGCCTCTCTGGGCCTCAGCTTCCCCATCTCCACATGAGACAGTTCCAAGATCCTCCACCTCAGAACTTCCTACCCACTAACCCATCCCTAGGACCCCCATACCTCATCCTCCCGGGGACGGTAGTAAGAGACGAGGGTCAAGGTGATGTTGTAGAAGAAATAGAAGCAGAAGGACAGGAAGAACATGTACTTGGCAAACTTCTTCCATTTCATATGCAGAAGCGTGTGCAGGGGCTCCAGGGTCAGCATCTCATGCCGATTCTGGGGATAGAACACCCGTGGAGATGAGGCAGGCAGAGAGGGACCATTTTCAAAGGACCCATCAGGAGCCCAGAGTCAACAGGGACAGTGACTCTGGGCTCCAGTCACTGGGAGCAATGAACTGGCTAATGGAAATGTTGGAAGAGTAACTCCCAGCTCCCATGGGTCCCATGGGGCAGTCAAATGCTATGTTTGGGGGCAGCTTCTGGCTGAAAGAGCTGAAGCATAGTAGGGACTGAAACTAGAAAGGGGTTGCAGTATCCCTGTGACCTTAGGATGCCTCATGAGCCTTTCTTGGCTTCACCTCTTTATCTATACCACAACCATTACCCACCCTGCCAAACAGGCTGCTGTGAGGGCCCAGGGAGCCTCTGGGGGTAGGACTGTTGATAAAATACAAAGGATGGAGCCTGGCCCTCTGCCTCACTCACCCCAAGAGCTGACAACTGTCTGAGCTGATCCTCCAGCCTCACTAGCCTTCCCTCTCCCACCTCCTCCTAAAAGGATCCCAGCTGCTCTGGCTAGTGAGCACTTCACATGCACTCAAGCCTAGAGGAAGAAAGGGCTCCAAACCAGAACACATAGATGAGTTAGGATAAGAGATCAATACCACACAGCTCTTCATTGCCTCTAAACTGCCAGGGATTCTGAAGCCAGCCCCTTACCACCCTTAGCTCTATTATTCATTGTTGGCCAGAAGCAAAAGAGCTAGCTTCTGCTTGGGCCATACCCTCTATGCCAGATTCCATCAAGACAAATCACCAATATAGGGCTTAGGGTACTCTGGCACAATTCCTCCCAGGGTCCTCAAGTCCTGGCCTGGGGTCCACCCCTCACTCCTTGTTCCTGCCACCTGCTTGGGAGACCCACGTCAATGTTGGTGTTGTAGACGATGATTTCCAGCACAGAGTTATCTGTCGTGGTGTCTACATTGGTGAGGTCATAGAGTGAGGATGACACAGGCCCATAAGCCCAGTCCGTGAACTTCCTGGACAGGCTCCGGAGAGGCTTCTCCTTGATCTCACGACTGAGGATGTACTTCAGGATCTGGAATGGGAAAAGGGACAATGGGATTTGTGAACAACAGGGCTAGACCAGCCAGACGCAGGTCAACCCAGACCTACCAAAAATAGTATGAGTGCCACCTCTACCTGGAGCCATGACCCTGGGTTCCAGCTGTGTCTGTGAAATGGGAGTAAAGTTCACAGTTCTGCCTTCTCACAGAGTGTAAAAGCCCTTTGCACACTGCAGAAAGCCAAACCATCGGCTGGTGGGTCTCCAAACCAACTGGGCTCCAGTTCAGTAAGGAATCCAAGAACTGACCATTTTTAGAAGTGATCCATGAGGCTTGAACTTGAAGCTCTTGGTTTCTCTGCTCTTCCATTCCACCCTCAGTCTAGGCTTTACAGCCAGGCTCATCACTCTGGATAAGCTGTGACATCAGGCAGCAGCATTCACAAACAGGCCTGTGGAGCCCACTCTGTAGATCAGTGGTCCTCAAGCTCTACTGTATTTTAGGGTCTCTGGGGAGTTTTTTGGAACACAAAGCCAACTACTAAAACTCCAGATGCCGGGAGAAACTTGGAGAGCATTTTGAGAAGCTCTGGGTGGGTCCTCTGAGGGGATGGGGGGCACCACTCTCCATCTCACCACTTCCTGAAAGCTAAGCCATCGATCACCTTAGATTGGGAATAGAGCATCCAGGGACATGAACCCACAACCCAACAAAAGGGATCTGTTGGGAGAACAACATCTGTGTGTGAATCTCTCAATTCCTCCTGCATCTCCCATCAGCCAGGCAGATAATTCCTACACCCCAGTGAGTAAAAGCCCCAAGGGCAGGTCTGTGGCTTCAGCATTGCTGTGTCCTCCACTCCCAGTAGGGCAGCCACCTTGGGTGACTTCCAGGAAAGTTTTCCACAAAGCACTGAATAAAGGAGAGGACCCAGGAACCTCCTAGTGGGTACCTCCCTATCCTCTAGAGCAGCTGATCTCAACCTGTGGGTCAAGCAAGACCCCTTTGGGGTTGCCAACCACATATATACATTGCAATTCAGAACAGAAGCAACACTAAGGTTTTGAAATAGCAACAAAATAATTTTATGACTGAGGGTCATCACAATGTGAGGAATGGTATTAAAGGACTGCAGCATTAGGAAGGTTGCGAACCACTGCCCTCGAGCATAAGAGGTCCCAGAGCCATGCCTCCTCAAGATGCATCTCCCCTAGGCTGGGTAGCAGGGAGTGCGAATGAGACAGTGTCGTGCAGGGAAAAGCTCATGGAAGAAACTAGACCCACAAATATCCTCTAGCTCTCCTCAAAGCCCCTATAAGCTATGACCCTGAGTGGCAGGATGGGGTGAGAGGATCAGATATACAATTCTCCCTTTGTTAAAGCCATTTTCCATCTCCTCCTCCCCCACAAGGGAATAAAAGGGTCCCTTGTGAGCTCCAGCTCCAGCCTGACCTAAGAACAGCTGACTAGGAGAAGTAGAAGGGCACACAGCCGGAATTGCTCAAAAGATGCCAACCATCCAGTATCCTCCCACAGCCTCTCAGGAGCCATAGTCCACACACACACACACACACACACACACACACACACACACACACACACACACACATACACGCACACAAAGATCCATCCCCTGAGAAGAAACTTGATCTTATCTAAGCCACAGATGCAGCCACAGATAAACAAAATACATCAGCCTGGCCCAATTGATTAGCCTAGAGTTCTTTGACCACATCACACAGGCAAAGGGCCCATATAGCCACATTCTGCTGGAGAAGAGGCCTGATCAACAGACTAAGGTCCTTCTATTGCCAGGGAGCGGAAGCCCATTGGCTGTGAACTCAGAGCAGCCATTCTGGAACCACTGCCCACAGAAGAGACAAGCCTGAAGGACAGACACACAGTCTGTGGTTGAGCATCACCACTAAGGAATGCTCAACCACACCTGAGATATTGCATCACTTTGGCTTTAGGGACTCTACAAGCTGGCCCCACCTAGGAAGTCCCAGGAAGAGAGACTGAACTCTGGAGCACAAGACGAATGTCCTAAGGATGAAGCACAAGCTGGATCTCACAGAGTCACCACTGCACTTCCAGACCTAAGCTAGGGTTGAGGCTGGAACCTGTGGGATCCTCAGACAAGCTCCAGGCTGTCAGAGTGACAGCTGTGCTTCCCCAGCCCCCACACCCGCTGTAGAGCCCCACCTCAGCCTTGCCCATCTTGGCAGCCAGCTGCAGTGGCGTGAGGCCATCATTGTTACGCATGGTCTCCAGCTCCCAGTTGCCACTCCTCAGCAGGATCATGTCATACATGCGCTTAACAAAGTCATTCTGGGTCTTGAAGTCCTCAGCCACTGTCACCAGTGCGTGCAGGATGTTGTTTCCCCGAGAGTCCTGGGAGGTGATGTCCGTCTGCTCATTCTCCATCAGCAGCTGCACAATCTCAGGCTGGTTGGTACACGCTGCCAAGGCCAAGGGTGTCTCACCTGGGGAACGGAGTGTCAGAGCTCAGTCCTTTCATAGGCCAAAAGCAATAGCCTCCAGGTCCCATGGCCGGAGTCCCAGACACTGACTATCACATCAGCCCTGACCCCTGAGCTTCCCTGACCACCTTCCACCTGCCCTTGCTCAGTGAAGACTGAAGCAAGGTCACACTAGTAGCCACCTGCTCTCCCTGCTCCCCACTGACTCTCCAACACTCTGCTCAGCAGAGGAGCAGAACAATCTAGGTCCCGGCTTACCCAGGACTAATTCCAGTACAACCAGAAAGCCTTATGTGCTTTGGCCTCTCATCCTCTCAGCCACACCCACACCTTTTCAGGAGGAACTGCCTCCTTCTTCCAACATGGGACATTTTCTAACCTCGGGGCCTTGGCGTAAGCTGTTCTTGCGTCCTGCAGATAGTCGGCATTGCTTATCCCCAGTCTTTGTTCAGATCCCACCTTTTCACTAACTCACTTTAACCACCCTACTTGAAATTTAGAAACTCTTCCACCCACTCCTGGTTCCTCTTCCTCTGTTTTACTCCTACTGTGCCCTCTCTTCATTCCACCCAATGAATGTTTCTCAACACTGACTGTAACTAGGTCCGATGCTGGGTGATGAGGATGCAAGAATGACTGAGCAAGAAGCTGTCCTCAAAGATGCCCAGACTCATCTAGTCCTGCTGATTAGAAGCCAGTGTATAAGAGTGTTTGCCGCACAAGCATGAGGAAATCAGTTCAAACCCCCAGCACCCATGTAAAAAGATGGGCATGGTTGCTACGGGGACAGAGACAAGCAGTTGGCAGGGGCTTACTGACCCCCAGCCTAGCTTCAGGTTCAGTGAGAGACTACCTCAAGGGGAAAAGATGAAAAGTAATAGAGGAGGACAGCAGATGGCCTCTGGCTTCTGCATACACATGCACATACACCTCACATACAAACCATACATACACAAAAAAGAGAGAGAAAGAAAACAGAGCAGAGCAGTGACAGTCAGGCCCAGGAGAGCTTCCTAATTGCCTGCCCTTACTGTGATGGTGGTAATGTATTTACAACAATAACAGAATTGTACACTAAAGTGGGTAGGTTTCACTATACCTAAATTATACCCAGAGAATCCATAAAGGCAATGTGAACATTGTCAGAAGTGGGGGAAAGGCATTTGTGTCTTTCCTCCCAATAACACACACACACATACACACACACACACACACACACACACACACACACACACACAGTCAATAAAGCTAAGAGGTTGTGAAGGAAGGACATTATAGGCATTATAGCCAAGTGTACAGGAAGTTTCAGAACCTCAAGTTTGCATGGTGCTTCTGTAAGGACATCTATCTGGCACACACAACACAACTGCAACTGCTTTAGGGTTTCTGACGGGTCAAGGGTTCTCCCCACTGACTCTGCCAGTCTGTACAGAGTATAACCCATCTGTTTTACTGCTCTAGGACAGGTCACTTTCCTCCTCATTCAACGGAACTGTGTTCTACACACACACACACACACACACACACACACACACACACACACACACACACACACCACCCAAAGTCTTTGTTCCCTGCAGATGTGACCCCTTCTGTGACCAGATCACACTGACAGGCTCTTCCACCCCAGTGGGCCTCTCTGGAGGTGGCACCAGTGAACCCTCTGGGATGGGTCAGCACCAACCCAGTTTCTGATCCACAGAGAGGACCCAGTCTTGCAGCGCACCCATGTGGAGCTCAGGGCAAGAGACCCCTTCTCCTCTCCCCGTGCCCCACGATGTCACCTACCGAAGTAGAAGCCTTCATGCTGGTATTTGGGGTTGAAGAAGACACCCTTGGCATGTGCGTTGACATCAGCACCTGCTGCTATTAGCACTGCAGTGATGTCTCCCTGGCGCCGCTCAATGGCAATGTTCAGTGCCGTCTGCCCTGCAAACAGAGCTGGCATGGGTGCCCAAAGGCCTGGGATAACCTAAGCTGATCTTAGAGCCCCTGGGCCCCAGGTAGCAGTAGCTGACTGAAAACACAAAGGATGTAGATACCATGTGGGGGACACCATGTTGGTGGCCAGTTGGATTCTGGGAAAGGAAGGACCAGTAATACCCCTCCATGGAAAAAAAATAGGGCAAGGATGCCCACAACCTCCTGCAAGCCTAACAACAAGGACTTGGTGGAGAAATCAAGAGGCTAGGGGAGGTTGAGAAGGAAGAGGATTTGTGATTAGGACAGAAAAGCTTTACCACAGGTATGAATAAAGTTGATAAATTCACTCTCTCAAAAATGTGTTTTTAAAAAAAACCTCTCCAGTGTGGGATCCTAGGGGCATCTAGGAATTGACCATGAGCAACAGACTCCATCCTTACCCTCAGAAGGTTCTGCTAGGCAGGCCTAGTGGTCCAGACCCATAGTCCCAGCTACTCAGGAGGCAGGGGCAGGAAGATCACAAGTCCAAAGCTACCTGGACTGTGGAGTGAGTTCAAGACCAACCTGAACAACTCAATGAGACCTTAGCTCAATTAAAAAAAAAAAGAGCTGGAGATATAGCTCCATAGTAAAAGCACTGTCCTGGACCACCACCCCAAAATTAAAGGGATCTTATCTTGTGCCAGCAGTGGGAAGATCATAGGACCCTGAACTACAAACAAGAAGAAAGAGAAGTACAGAAAGAGATTGGGAGGGGAGAAAAGTCGGGACAGGGGTTCCCACCCTCCTCCATGGTGCCATGACTTTCCCTTTTGAAAGTCTGTAGAGTTCAAACAAAGACTCAAGACTCCTTTCCCCATATAGAGGGCTAAAGACTGAGCTGTTTACATCTCCCAACATGTCAGCAAGATGACTGCTCATGAGCTGACCGCTTCTGCTAACTGTGACAAGCTGGTTACTGACTCCAAAGACTCAGGATGTGGCCTATTAACTGCTCACAGTGGGTGTCCTGGGCAGGGAAACAAGGCCATAAACTATATCTCCTAGTTCCACTTACAAAGCAAGCCACAAAACCACACTGAAATGGGACCATGTACAATGTTGGTGACTGCAGCACTGACTGCTACCTTTACTGCTACCTTTACTGCTACCTTTACTGCTACCTTTACTGCTACCTTTACTGCTACCTTTACTGCTACCTTTTCTGGCCCCTACCTGGCTCTCTAGCCTCATGCCCAGGCCTCTGTCTGTTTATGCTTGTTTGCTCTGTGGTTCCTGGGGATCTAAGTGTCTTGTACATACCAGAGAAGCTCTTCTCAGCTGAGCTACATCCCCAGGCCACCCAGTCTTCCTACTGTCAGATTCACCAGGCCTGTGCCGGTCCTGGGGCTCTTCCCCTGAGCTTGCTCTGTATTTCTCCCATCAGGTACGCTCTGGGTCAAGTCACCACTTTACAGTTGCTCGCCCCAGTCACTCCCTGTCACACTGCATCGTCGTTATCTTCAATCCTGACATAGTCTGTCTGAAGTCGCCTTTTTAGAGCATCACGTTTCCTGACTTGTCCACCCCGGCTCAGCATTACTCACAGGGAAAAGGAAGGATGAGAAGCGTGTCTGCTGCATTTGGCCTCTTTCATGGCCAAGATGCCTCTGTGTAGCAAGACTGGCCCGGCTCTGCAGCCACACCCACCTTGGGAAATCCCAACCTCTGTCCCTTGCCCTTAGGTTGCCTCTGCCTGCGGGTACCTTCATAGGCCTCTTCCGTGTACTCAGCGTTGATGAACCTGTCTAGGATGTCGTTCTCTTCAGCGAAGGCAAGCAGAGTCCGCACGATCTCTTTGGTGTTGGGGTTGATGTTGAGCAAAGCCTTCATCAGGCAGGTCTTCCCCGTGTCCGAGGCTGTCAGCTTGTGCATGAGGAAGTCTGCAGATGGAGTCAAGGATAAAGGCAGGAACGAGAAGAGCTGGCTGGCCTGGGCCTCGCAGACAGAACAGGGTGTAGGAGCTGCAGCCTTGCACCTCAAAAGCACTCCCCGTATCCTGCGCAGGAGGGCCCCAACCCTGTACTACATGACACTCTTCCTTCCTCTCCCCAGCCTCCCCTCCAGCTCCCTCCCTGGTCTGCTGTTCATGGTTACCCCCTATGAAAGGCTACTCCAGCTTTCCCCCCCCCTACTCTTAGACCTTTGTACCTTCTCCATGAATGGGAGACAATGTCACCAGCTGCCTGGCTTCCCACTGCCCGTGTTTGTGCTGAAATCTCCATCCTCTCCCTCCTGGTGGTCTAAAAATTAACTCATCACCCATCAACCTGCTCCTCACCTTAATCCCCAGACAGCTATGAACCCCCAAATCCTTCCATTCCTGTCAATGACTGGGGAACTCCCCAAGACTCTTCCCCCTCTCCTAGGCCTGCTTCAGGGTCCCAAGGCTGTTTGAATAGCAACTCTCTCCAGATTTACTCCACCCCATAGCCAGACCATGCCCTCTGTCTGCCTAAACCTATCCATGACTCCCTGTGTCCCTCCAAGCCAAGCTCACGGTTGCTATGCCAGTACCTAAGGAAAGTGTCTCATGCTCAAGTCCCATAGGAGATGGATCAGGGGCCAAGCCAAACCAACCAGGGTCCCCAGGGTCTGAACCCTGTACCAGGGCCAGGCACTGACCAGGCACATCCAGGCCACGGCGCCGTTTGCAGAGCTCTTGAAGCTCCTGTAGCAGGTCCCGCAGCTCCCCCACGCAGCCCTCGGATACAGCGGCAAAGATGCGCTTCTTCAGCCGCTTCTTCTTCTGCCTCTGCTCTTCTTTGGCCAGGTTTGCACTAAGACCAGAAGGCACCACGAAGTCACCCCACATTCGCCTTGACTCCCCCCCCTTCCCCTCCACCAACAGAGCTGCTGGCCTCCAGGCCACTGCTCCAACTCCTATGCCTCTCATGTCTTTGGGGATGCCCGTGTTTGTGTTCGGTGTTGCCTGATCAGGTTCCCCTTCCAATCTATGTGTAATCACATTGATCAGAATATAACTATATACACACGAGGATGATCAAGAAGGATGGATGCCTATTGTAGCCATTACCTTGAACTATGGAACTAAGGAAAGAGAACGCTCCCTTTCATCTCCTATCTGAACTTTTCCATCTATCCCTCCCTGTCCCGTACTCCAAGCAGACCATTGCTGTATGTAATGTGGGTGTACTGACTTTCGTTCGTATGTGCTCTTAGAAAAATGCATACTGATGTTCTATGTGAATGGATTTTAAGTTTATATACTTGTGTAACTTGTGCAAAAGTTCTTATTCTCCTGTGCATTGTTTTGTAATGAACAAATATCATCAAATAATTTACTGATATTTCACTCCTCTCCACAAAATGTCACATGCCACAACCATGGCTCAGGCCTTTAGGTGTTTGTCCCAATCACCAGAGCAGATGGTCTCGTTGTCTTTCTTGTGCAACCCATCCCTGCAATAGCTCCCCATATTGAGAATAGTGAGACAAGGGGGAGGGTCACACTGACCTCGGACTATTGGGGTTGGATGGGGTCTCTGTCACATCATCCTGAGGAGACTGAGGGGAGTCCATGTCATCACAGTTGCCAGAGATGCTAGAGATGGAGGAGAGGGAAGAAAGCAAGACAAATTCAGAAAAGTATAGTGCTACCATGCCCAGCTTTGTGTCCAGGCCAGCAGCCAGTACTCACCACTGCCGGATGTTGGAGTCCATTGGCTTGGAGAAGATGGGAGGAGAGGTCTTGGTGACTGTGGGATTGGGCTCAAACCCTTCTATCTCCAGGAAGAAGTGTGCACTGAGGAGACACCCAATCAAGGCCATTAGAGCTGGGGCAGGCCCTATGTGTCCTGCAGCCTTGCCACAGAGGACCCACCCATACTGAGTCCTCAGCCTATGTCCATGTGTCCTAACCTAGTCTTTGGGGATGGAGAAGAGCCTGGGTTCTAAGCTGAGCCTGGATGACTCTTGTCTCTAAAAATACCATGTGGATGGACCCAAGAGGCTCACTGAGGATGGCCCAGCACCTGAGGATCTGCAGCTGTTTCCAGGTATACGGCCTTTCAAAGATGGAACAGGAGCTGAGCTTCTCATTGCCATCCAGCTGTTCCTACAACCTACACCTGAAGGCAAAGCCTTCTAACAAGGCTCCCCAGATTCAAATCCACACAGGCCTTCCAGCAACTTAAGGGAAAGGGCCAGAATCACCCTGGCTGCCCTCATTGCCCATTAATCCCTTTGTCAGAATAGAAAGTGAACTGAGAAATCTAGTCTAGAGCAGGTAGAACTCAAAGGTCTGGCAACCTAGGCTGAGTATCCCCCACCAAGAAGAAAAACCCAGATTAGACATGGACATATATGCCCCTAATCTCCTCACTCAGGATGCTGAGTCAGGAAGATCATAGGTTTAAGGCTAGCCTGTGCTACATAGCAGGACTATCCCTTAAAAAATAAAATATAAGATATATCATGTGAGAATGGCTATTATCAAGATAACAGGCAACACCAAAGCATGGCAAGAACGGGGCTTGGTGAGAAAAGAACCTTTACATGTTGCTGTAGTGCAGCCTCTGTGAGAATCAACATTGAGGCACCTCAGAAAATTTAAAATAGAACTTTCATATGATTCACCTATACTGTCTATAGTATAAAAGTCTACAGTAGAAAGAACCCTACAAGGATACCTGCTCATCCATGTTTATTGCATCACTATTCACAATAGCCAAGTTACAGAGTCAGCCCAGCTGCCCACCCACAGATGAACAAATAAAATATGGTATTTTATAAAATGGTGTTCTATTCAGCCATGAAGAATGAGGTTCTGTATCATTTCTTGGAAAATGTATGGAACTGGAGATCAGCCTGCTAAGTAAAATAAGCTGGGCTTAGAAACACAAAGTATCATCTTTTTTCTCATTTGTGGAAGATAGAAAAATAAAACTACACGTGGGAATGCTAGGAATAGAGAAGAATAATGATAAAAGTGGGCAAAAAAGCAGGCAAGACGGATCAGCAGTCAAGAGCACTGGCTGCTCTTCCAGAAGGCCCAGGTTCAATTCCCAGGATGCACATGGTGGCTCACAACCATCTGTAACTCCAGTCCTGTGGGATCCTGTACCCTCCCTCTTCTGGCTTCTGTGGGCATTTCACACATAGTGTACAGACATACATGTAAGCAAAACACCCATACACATAATAAGTATATACTCATACACAAATAAATGAATGTTCAAAAACTATTTTTCAAAAAAGAAAAAGTAACAAGAGGGGAGAATATATCAAAGTTCGTTATGTGCATTGCATGAATGCCATAATGAAGCCCCTAACTTTGTGCAATTGATATATACTAGCAAAAAGAATAGATTAAAACATGCAAAAGAAAGGAGGAGAGGCCCAGGAAACATTACCAGGCAGTAAAGGAGAAAGACAAAGCCATAATCAGCTTTCTCCTCAGGCTTCAAAAGAATGGTAGACACACATTGGTACTCTGACCAAGACACTCCAGCCACAGCCAGCCACACCCACAAAACCAGATAGACATGACCTTGAACACCACGGTCACACACTAGGAGATGAGTCTTCCAGTAACACTAAGGTGAAGAACAGCTGAGGGTGAACTCAGTTGCAGCTGCCACAGCATAGCTGCTGCTAGTCATGTGACCCATCGAGAATGCTGGCCCTCTGACTGCAGGCACACAGCATTCCTTAACACCTTTGCTGCCTGAGTTTTTCCTGGGCCCAGAATGGAGGATGTTCCAAATCGCAGTTTCTCCCATCTCAAGTTTAGAAAGAAGAGCAACAGGGTGTGACCCCAGTCTAAAGGCGAGGCATCCGAGGCTAAGGATGAGTAAGCACCTCCCCCAGGGCAGACTCAGTCAGCCATAGAACCTGATTCCTGCTGTCCAGGCTAACAACTGACAGTGATGCATACTGCTCTGTTCTCAGCTTAGTCCGCTGGGCCTGCTTCCAGCTGAATCCGCTGCAGGGGTTAGCTAAAAGGAGGCTACCCAATCAGGGCAGGCAGGAGAATCCTGGCTGGCCTGAGAAGTCCTTCTCCTCACTTCAGGCACAGATAAGCCTAAAGCTCACAATAAATCCATAAATGGGGTGGAGGACGCATTGGCCTTCCCCCTCCTGGCTTCTGACCACCAAAGAAGAGCCTTCTGCCGGGTATGGTGGCTCACACTATGGAGCACTCTGGAGGCTGAGGCAGCGAGATTGTTCAAGGCTGGTCTGGGACACAGGTAAGAACCTGATGAGGGGAATGGGGAAAGAAAAGGAGAAAAGGGGAGTGGGGGAATCTATCCTTACCTAAAAGCAAATATTTCAAAAGAGAAGAAAAATATTTAAAGAAAGAAGACAAAGGGTTAGAAAGTTTGGGTTCTCGGGTATACAAATGGACTTTGGACTCCCATCCAACAATGAGAGATGCACTCTCACCCTGAACTCTTGGGGGAGGGTCTAGGCCCTGCCCTGGATGAAATGACAGACTTTGGACACCACCATGGAGGGCCTCACCCCCCCTGGGGAAATGAGGGGATATTGGGGGGGTTGGTGGGAGGGCACGGGAGGAGGGGAGGGAAACGGAGAGGGACCTGGAACTGACTTGTAAAGCAACCTTGTTTCTAATTTAAATTTATATATATATATATATATATATATATATATATATATATATATATGTATATATATATATATATATAAAGACCAGGAAAAAAAAGAAAGTTTGGGTTCTGGTCAAGTTCTGCATATGACTCTAGGTGGGCACTTTCCATCTTTGGACCAGGAATCCTCAGCTGATGTGATACTGCTTGGGTCAGATAATTGCCAGCCACGGCAACCCCAAGACCAACCACTTATGAGCTGTCTAGCTGAAGTTGACATTGGGGGTTATCCAGTCAGGTTACCACACCCTGAGCTACCATTCCAAAGCTTTCCTGCTCCACTATGGCAGCCTGACTCAGAGATTCCAAACACATCTATCTACTAGAGGTTCAGCCTCAAGACATCCTTGTTGAGAATTTCCAGATTTTCTCTAAACAGAAAGAGTCCTAAACCCACACCCATAAATTTTCTCCAAGAAAACCTGGTCTGGTCCTCCTTTAAGCCTACCCTGCCCTTGAGAGTGTGCCACTCAACAAATACTTATCAAGCTCCTACAGTGTGTGAGACACAGGCAGACTCCCTTTTTTTCCCAGATTTGCTACTCCAGTGGGTTGATCAAAACTGGCTTCAAGGTAAGACCAATACATAGCACAAATAGGCCATTTGGTTTTTGACTTTGAACAATACCCTGTTATTCAGTTGTATATTTCCCAGTAGCAGGGCCCATAATGGTACTATCTTTGATTTTCCAGAATCAACCTTGATTCCCTAACAGTGACACTGGTACTCAGAAGATCCCACTGCATGGATGTACGAAAGGATAGACAATGAGTGAGAAATATTCAAATGGAGGAAATAACGGCTGCTCAGTCAAAAGGACAGATGAGCTAATAGATGAAGAGTGGGTAGATGACAGAATAATGGATGGATGGATGATGGATAGATGGATAGATAATAAGTAATCAAGTAGGTAGATGAGGTGGAGAGGTCTGTGGATATGACCAATACTCAGACAGATAAACACAACCTAAACTGTCAATGGTGAGCCAGGTGTTGGTGGCGCATGCCTTTAATCCCAGCACTTGGGAGGCAGAGGCAGATGGATCTCTGTGAGTTCGAGACCAGCTGGTCTACAGAGAGAGTTACAGGACAGGCTCCAAAACAATATAGAGAAAACCCTGTCTCAAAAAAAAAAAAGCTGTCAATGGTGGAGGCCAAATCCTTCCTGTGATTGGCTGTGCTCCAAATTTCTGAAAGCTTTCACCTCCCCGCCCCTTCTCAGTCTCACACACAAGCTGAAGTGGGGTCTTTTGCCACTCCTCCCCTGAGCCCCTCTTCTCAAGAGATCAAGAATGGCACAGAAAGCCACATCATGTAAATATGTGGCACCCAAGCCTTAGCTGAGGGCCCCACGGAAGAAGGAAGGCACCATCTCACTGTGCTACGGCCTGGCTGATGCTGAGCCTCTGGGCAGCTTCCTCTGGCTCACACGCTCCCCTCGTTGCCTTGCCTGGTTCCTCATTTACTCCTCCACTTACTCAAAACTAATCAGTTTCCCCGTGTATGAAACTGAGGAGATAGGAAGGGGACAATCACCCTTCCAGAGACCCCTTCCTCCAGAGATGTCAACCAGGGCTAACACAATTGTCCCAGCTACCACATCTGTTTCTTTAAGGAGAGGCTGGTTGTAGGAGCACAAGAACAATGAAGGCTCTTATAATTGAGGACAGGAATTAGAGGCTCTGTGCTGGGCTAACTGGAACATGGTCTGTACATTGAAATATGCCTCTGGCTCCAGAAAAGCCCTGAAGCAGAGAGAAGAATAAGAAATACCTCCTGAGCTAGAAAGGAAGTCTGTCTTGGAAAAGGAAAGTTTGAAAGCCCAGAGAACATGATGTGGAGAGAGGAGTGATGACAGACGGACTAGGGAAGACCAGACGATTAGGCAATGGCCTAACTCGCCAGGCAGAGTCTGACACATCCCTGCCCTACTTGACACTACACAACCACATCCCACCCACCATCATAAGCATATGGTAAGGGCTGAACCACATGTCATCCCGGATCCTGCCTGTGCAGATGCTCATTGTTTATTGCTTTGGTCCAGGTCAAAGGGTGCAGCCTGGGTGTGGTTAACTCAGGTGCACAGACAACTGTATACCATTTCTCCACCATTTCTGTCACTTTTGAGAGACAACTCCAAGACCAGGAAGCAACTTAAAGCTTGTCTAGCCATCGGCTTTGACCCAAGAAATCCCCAAGTGTCTAAACTCCCCAAGGCCATCACTCTGACCCTGTATGTCCTCTTGCCTAGGGCCCAATAAGGAGGCCAATGTGGCAGCTACTCAAGGAATGGCATGATGGTTCAGGAAAGCTCCCAGGTCCAAAGATCTCTCCCCTCTGTAGACCCTCCTGCCTTCAGTTCTCCCATGAGTTCATGGCCTAATAGTTCATAATGACTGGCATTGCATTCTGTCTTCACATACAATTTATTCTTTTTTTTCTCTTTAGGCCCAAGTCTTATAGTCATTTCTAAGGGAAAGTCTCAAACCTTCATAGGAATACCCTCAGAGAGTCTGTGGAGCCACCACTTCAGGAGACAAAAGTCACACCTCATACCCTGGGCCAGGTAGTCATTTGGCCAGGATTGGGTGGTCTAGAACTAATCTCTTGAGCAGACACAAGCTTCCAAAAAACAACAACAAAAAAAAGCAGCTCAGCCAGGCCTGAAGGGGAAGAACTCAAGGTTTTCTTGAGAGCCTGTTCACAACCCTATCCCTTTCCTCTGGGAGTGGAAAGGAAGGAGACCCAGAAAGATGGGCCTTATTGGCCTAGGTCAGCTGTGTTTCTGTTACTTCCCGGATTGGTCCATGTAGATCCAGGGTGCCCCAACTCGAATGCCACCTGTCTCAGCTCCTCTCCTCCTAGCTTTCTTTCTTGAACTCCAGGATGGAAGCTTTGCCTAGTGTCATCTAGGCACCTCTTACTTCACACATGACCTTGGCTCACCACTCCTGTCCTTGCTCCTTTGGTGGGCTCTTGGCCAAGGCAACCCTCTGTCCTTCTAAGTTACCCCACCAGAAGAGTGTATCATCTCATTCTTCCTTCTCTCTTCTTGCCCCCAGAAGATCCCATGACTGACTCCACTCACATCCATCCCTTCCTCCATCCCTGACCACCCAGGCTCAGACCTTACCACCTATCTCCTGTTTCCCAACATCTTCCTCAAGGTCTCCCTGCCCCCAGTCTCCCTTCTAACATATTGTCCACATGAATCAATCTGAGCAACATTTCCAAAACTCCTATCTCTCTATACCCTCCTTCAGGAAATCACCTTGTGACTCCCCTACTCTCCTTGGGATCATCCGTGTACTTTAACAGATTCTCCCAAGACCTGGCCCTCATAGGACTTGTCTCCACGTGACCCTCGTGGCATCAGCTGCTAAAACTCCTTAGACCATGCTCTCAGCCTTCACTCTCACGTCCCACTGCCCCGCATACCCTTTTCCACCAGCTCCACCTACCGAAGCTCACTCTACTATCACCTCCTCTTATGAAGTTCTCCAGACTGCCCATGAGCTCGGAGAGACCTGTACCTCCTCAGTCCTCCTCTGTTGTAGCTTATTTTACTTACTCCAGACACTTGTCACATTCCCCTTTGTGTCCCCCACTCCAGGCTATGAGCAAGAGTGGGTGCTCTTTATCTCTGTGTTCAGGTGTCTGTCCCCTGACACACAGGAAACTTCAGTGATTCTGACTTTAACCAACAGACAGAAGAAACCAATTTCTCCAATGGCCCAAGAGGAGAGCTAGGGTGGGGGCAGAGAAGGCAGGGCAAATGAGCCATCCTAGACTATGGACCACCCTGGGTCCAGGGAAAACACAGTTGAACTAGCCTCTTGGTGTAACTTGACCCAACTGAGAAGTGCCCAGTCACCCAAAAAGATCAGCCATGGAGGTCTAAAGTCTGTTCTCTGTCCCAGCATCCTCAACCTAGAATCGAGACAAAAGCTCTCCAGCCCTGCCCAGCTCCCAGGAGCCCCATACTATTAAAGTCAGCACATACTGTGCACTGATCATCTTGTCTATGTCAACACAATGGCAATTAACTGTGTCTTGTAAGTTGGTGCCATTGTAGTGTCTTCATATAGAGATCCAGCTCAGCACAGCTATAGCCATCTCGGTCATAATCTCCATTTTCCCACCAGGTGACCCTACCATGCATCTGAAGCCCTATGAGACACACAGTCATTACAATAACTGAAGCTGTAAATGGGGCTGCACATCTGTAACACCAGCACTCAGAAGGTGGAGGATCATAAATTCAAGACTCCTTGGCTATGTATCAAGTACCTGACAAGCCTGAGAAACATAGCAAGATCCTATCTCAAAAGAAAATACTCAGGGGCTGGAGAGGTGGCTCAATGGTTAAGAGCACTGACTGCTCTTCCAGAGGACCTGGGTTCAATTCCCAGCACCCTCATGGCAGCTCACAACTGTCTGTAACTCCAAGATCTGACACTCTCACACAGATGTACATGCAGGAAAAACACCAATGCACAAAAATAACTAAAATATTAAAAGTACAGGCAGTGCTGGTGCACACCTTTAATCCTAGCACTTGGGAGCCAGAGGCAGGCAGGTCTCAGTGAGTTTGAGGTCAGCCTGGTCTATCAAGTGAGTTCCAGGACAGCCAGGACTGCTACACAGAAAAACCCTGTCTCAAAAATCAAAATAAAAGGAAAGAAAAGAAAATACTGAGCCAAGAGTATTATGTGCCCAGCCTGTTAACTGAGAGTGGCCATGAAAAAAACCAATATATTCTGGTTAGCTATAGCCATCTTTATCCAGCTTAATCCAAAACATCTACCTCCTTCCTTGCATGCCAGGATTTTCCTTTTATTCTGTCTCCCAAAACACACTTTTTTGGTAAGGTCCCAATAATTTACACTTTGCACAATTCAATACTGAATCCATCACAAAGTACCTTCCGCCTTCCCAGGTTTTCCCAATACAAACCATTATTCAGACTTGATTCCACAGTAGATTGAAAACCACTTGTGTATGTAAGAAAACAACATGTCCAGCCAAGGATCCAGACTACCTAGAACATCACCTACCTTTTTACTGCTATTCTCAAGAATGGCTTCAGCAGTCCTTACCCCTCCAAGAGCTTTCCTGAATGTTCTTTCAATTCCCCCATCCCGTCTAAGAAGACCCCATCCCAAACCAGACGCAGAGATTCACAACCAAGAACCAGGCCTAGTTCCAGAAATCCAGTCAAAGAGAGGGAGGAGAGAATATATGAGCAAGGGAGGTCAAAATCATGATGGAAAAATCTACAGAGACAGCCGAACCAAGCTCCATGGAAACTCATGAACTCCACACCTACAGTGGTAGAGACTCCAGGGGACTGAACTAGGCCCTCCATATATGGGAGACAGCTGTGAAGCTTGGACTATCAGAGGGGCCCCTGGCAGTAGGACCACAATACAAGTCTGATACATGAGCTAGCTTGTTGGAGACCATTCCCTATGGTGGAATGCCATGCTCAGCCTTAATGCATGGGAAAGGGGCTTGGCCCTGTCCCAACCTATTGTGTGAGACTTTGTTGACTCCTCATGAAAGCATTTACCCATGAGGAATGGACTAGGGGTGGGCTGGGGGAGAGGGTAAGGAGGGGTGGGAGGAGGGGTGGGAGGAAGAACTGTGGTTGGAATTTAAAATAAAATTTAAAAGAATAAATAAATTAAGTTGGGTGGTGGTGCTGCACACCTTTAATCCCAGCACTGGGCAGGCAGAGGCAGGCAGATCTCTTGTGAGTTCTAGGCCAGCCTGGTCTACAAAGCTACACAGAGGAACCCTGTCTTGAAAAATCATAAAAACAAAGAATAAATAATTTTCTAAAAGAAGACCCCCCTCCCTGTGCCATTCATGAAGACCTTAGCAAGCCTGCTCCCCATCCCCAAGTTATACGCAGTCTGTCATCAGGCCACCCCATGTGACACTCAGATTCCTGAGTCTATAGGAAACACGGGATCTCTGCAGTGGACGCCTGCAATGCCCCAGACTGTATAAAGCTCAGGCCCAAGGTTTCAGTCTCACCTCTTCTTGGTGGGGGTGAGGTCGGCCGGCCTCTTCTCTGTGAGCACAACGGAGTTCCCACTGGGTGCTGTGGTTCTTCGGCCCATGAGGGGCACCATCTCCTTGGGGTGAGCATTCATTGCTGGAGCCTAAGACACAGACTGAGATTGAGTGGGCGGGAGATAACTTCTGGGGGCTTCAGACTCCCATAGGGTACCATCTACCTCCTGCTCACACCTCTCCAACATGAAGTTCACGCCCTGTCTTTGCAAACTGTCAGCCTTTCTTGGGCACATATCTCCTGCTTCTGAAGCCGAGGAGAGGCCAGCATAGAGTCCAGGACAGAAGCATTCTGCCTCTGAGCTCCTGTCACTGTCTCCAGCCCTATCAGTCTCTGACAGACTTCTGAGACTTAACTTGCTTTCTCAATGCCCCTACCCCAAGACTTTGTATTCAGATCTCTGTGTCAAGGTCACACTTCTTTGACCTTAACAGAACGCCAATGTCACCTCCTTTTCTCTAGTCTCTGCTCTGAATAACACAGCTAGGGTGTTCGACTTTCTAGGCACCTGCAGGTAGTCTCTGCAGATCACCCACTGATTACTACTCTTGCCCTTTCCCACAAGCTAAGCACAGCCAGATGGTGACTGGCACCCCATCAGACTCCCTCTTGCTTAGACGACACATAGTCACTTACCCTGGGGTGCAGAAGGCCAACCCTTCAGTCCAAACATGCTTTACTAATGATTCGTATGGCTGAGTTAGAAAAAGGTACCACTCAACCCTCCAAAGAGATTAGGGAATGTTTCTCGGAGGGAGGTTTAAAGATGGGGATGCAGCAGTAATGCCATCTAAGCTGGGGGCACAGCCTGCATAATGACCAGGGCTCAAGACGGTGCAGTGACAGGAAAGGAGCCAGTGGAGCTGAAGACCCTGGATGAGTTCATGGGAAACCCTGGCAGAGGAGGGCTTGGCAACAGGTTGAGTCACTTTGTGAGGCCCTCAAACATAACTTGGAAGCTGAGATTAATGCCAGGGAAGCAAGGAGCTAAGGAAGGCTCCAGGCTACATAGACAACTGAGCCTGAAGGAGAACAGAACATGGATGTGGGAAGACCAATGTCCTGGGGCCAGGAAGAAGGTGGCATGGGGATCATGGGGAGGGGGAAGAAGCTGCTAGCCATGCAGGATACATATGAAAAGGTAGTGTGGACAAGAGGTAACTGCTGTCGGAACCAACCTCAATTTAAGTCACCTCAGATAACTTACTTAGATATAGAAGTAACCCCCAACCCTGCCTGTATCCATCACAGCCAGAGCCAGATGGGTACCCTTCAATACTTGCCTCTACCCAAAGCAATGAGTGGACATATTGGGCTAAAAAGGCTTTGCTAGGCCAAAAGCAAAAGTGGACAGAGGTTGCCTCACCCACCCTCCCTCATCCTCTGGTTTCCCTCCTGAGAAATAGCCGACACCAACTGCTCCATCCTTGTGCTAAGCCCATGAGTGTGAGCTATTCTGAACAGCTAGGGCAAGTGGGGGTCAGGACAATGTGGCCTCGGACTCCAGCAGGTGTAATTAGCTCCTGAGTCACCCTTATACGCCTTGCATCCTCACCTGCTGGACTCTCTCCCTCCCTGCCCTCCGACTCCCTCATCTGGGAAGTGCCATGTCACAGCTGCCAGGGCCCTAACACTGACTGAAATGGCCTGTCCTAGGGACACAGACCAGGCAGAGGCCGCAGGGAGACTTCCATAGCTGCTATGTCAATACCGGTAAGCGCCTGGGCCATCTTGAACATTCCATCACACTCCTGCCGTGGAGATTCCCATCCCTAAGCTGAGGGAGACAAGCTCTGGAGTTTCTCACTCCTTGGGATTCCCAAACCTCAAGGACAAGTTCCTGGGCCTGTCAGAGCCTGCATTCTCTCCCCTTTCTGTTGTCAAAAGTTGGTATGGCTTTTTTTCCCTCATACTAGAAACCCAGCTCTCCCCCATCTTCCTGAGGCCCATGGGCCAAGAGCAGAAATAGCCCAGAGGATCCCACATCCATGCTGTAGTCTTTCTGGAGGATACTAGCTTCCCTAAGTGACAAGGACTTACCTGGAAGGTTCCAGGTGGTGGTGGCAGCCCTTGGTTTGAGATCACCGCATGTCTGGGGCCAAAAGCCCACCGTCGGGAAGGTAGCTGAGGAGGTGAGAGGCTCTCATCATAGGCACAGAGACAGCTGACAGCTGGAATGAAGCATCAGAGGCAGAACTGGCTGGGCCACCTGCCCTCGGCGCCAGGCAGGCCACACCCACCACCCACGTGCCCTACGTGAGTCACCCCCACACCCACAAAGCAGCCTCACCCCACAGGAGAAAAGGTAGGAAGGGCTCTTGCTGTGGCACAAAGCTGAAGGTCTGGTCCCAACCCTTCCCTCTCTTCTATCTGATGCTCATCAGGCATCAATAGCCTCAGTCTCCTCACTTGGGAAATGGTACCCATTACAGAGAACTTGCCGATCCTGAATGTCACCCACAGGCAAAGATGATGGAGGTGGAGAAGTTTCACAGGTGCTCTGCTCTGATCCCTGGGAAAGAAGGCTGCAACCAAAGGCTATCCTGGTAGACCCCAGGGTGGTTAGCTGTAAGACTTGACATCCATCTTGCAAAAATAGTTCCTGGGATCAAGTCCCTTGGAGACAGAGGAAGTCCAATGTTTCCCAATAGTTTCTATGCATCATGGACCTTCATGTGCGACAGTCTCACCACTTCCTGCCTCTGTGATCTTGGGCAAGTCATTTCTTCCAGGCCTGGGTGGGTTTGCTCGCCTGTCAAGCATACATGGCCCACCTTGGAAGGTAGAGAATAAATGAGGGAGCAAATGGAAAGGGCTAGAACAAGGACCTAGAGGGAAGAAAGAGTTCTTAACCTATGACAGTTAGTCGTGTTATTGCCACACCAATTGGCTCTCCCAGTCACTGTTCTCCAAGGCCAGGGCACCACAGGAAGACTCTATGCCCTCCCATCTTGCCCAAATGGCTTCTGGGAAAGGGGTGGAGCAGAGTTTGACTCAGGAGCTGCACATGTCCTCAGGAGCTTCTGCAGGGAAGCTGTGTAGGCATGCATGACAGGCTTAGAACGGAAGTCCCTGCTCAGTGACAATGCTATTGGCTGACACAGCAGGGGCTTTCCCACCTGTTCCCAAGAGGACAGATCCTAGATCTCTGATAACTACAACCTGCCCAGCCTGGGGAGGTGGAATGAGGCAGGGTCAGCTTCTAGGCCATCAGAGAGAAAGACCTGTGACCAGAACAGGGCAGAGTGGGCTTCAGGTGTGACTTCTATGGGGCAGAGCTCCTGCAACTAACTCCACGGAAACCTGCAGTTAGTACTCAGGATTTCTCATCACTGTTCCAGAAACACCACCATCAAAGTCCTACCTTCAAAGAAATGCAGGCTCTTTCTTCCTCACCTGCCCAGGCCTGACTCAGTCTTGACTTGTCTTTGCCTCTGATGTCTCAGAAGCCTGGGCATGAGGCTGTTCCAGGCTCTGTGTTGAAACTTTCCTTGATTACCCCCATTTCTTCAGCAACCAGCTGGAGACTAGCTTAAAAGGTACTTTATCAGTCACCTCAAGGCACGCTCTGTAACAGTGGGGATTAGGGAAGCCCCCTTTGCTATAAGGATATGACCCCACAGAAACCCAGTGTAGCTCCAACAGCTGGTCCACAGTCAGTGTCCTTGAATTCAGCCATTGTAAGTCCACTTACATAGGAGACCCCAGCAAGAAACCAGTGAAGGATTCAGAACCCAGGGATGTTATCCTTACCCTCAGGAAACTTATGGACCACCAAAAGACCAGCTCCGTCTGGGATAATCCCATCCCAGGTGATAAGGGCCAAATAAGGCAGGGGAGATACATCCAATGAGGAAACAGGTTTAAATCAGAGGGAGCATCTGGACTGGAATTGGGAGGAAGGAAGTCTCATCAGCAGAGCATCAGCCTCCTGAGCCCCTGGCCTGTTTCAACGTGTGATGACATGCCTAGAGCAACATGTGGACTCAGCAAAGTGATCGCTTGTGGGGCTGAGATGCAGTAAACTAAGTGACCCCAGGCTGCTGGGTCAACCCTGACCCCTTAGTCACCCAGAGTTGGGTTGGCCCCTGGCCAGTCAGGGACACTGACACTACTGTAATCTGACCCAGCTGGGCTGAACAAGCAGCGCATGCTATCTGTCTACCTACCTGGCATCAAGTTTGCCTTTGTGAGGCTTCTGTCTTCAGTCTGGGGTCCACAGAGCACAACTGCAGATCTGTGCAGCTGGAAGCACCTCCTGTATCTTTCTCCAGCCCTTTCAAACCCAACATTGCTTGCCCTGTCCTAGCTACCATGTGGATGGCCTGCAGGGCTCATTCACAAAACCCTAACTCTTTTTTTGTTTTGGTTTGTTTTGATTTTTTATTTATTTTTTACATTCCAATGCCAGTTCCTCCTCACCCCTCTCCACCCGCTCCCCCCACTCCTCCCCACCTCACCTCCCATCTGCTTCTTGGAGAGGGTAAGGCCTCCCCTAGGAAGTCTTCTAAGTCTGTCCATCATCTCGTTGAGGAAGGACCAAGGCACCTCCCCACCCCCCACCCATGTCTAAATCCCCAACTCTTAACAACTGCCCTCCACTACCAGGTTCCCAGTTCCCACAGCAGCCACAAGCTGTGCCATGCCCGCTTTACTTTAGCAATCTGAACTCTCCTCCCATGTTGGAAAGAATATACACTAATCCCAAGAGTGGGCCTCTCAGATTTGGGTATGCATATGCAGAAGAGGACAGAGCCTGGGGTGGGATACAGGCCAGGAAGAAAAAGGAAGATTCTGGAAACCTGGCCCCAGCCTGCCTTCCAGAGGCCTGAACGTCAGGCAACCTCCAGATGTCTGCCAAGATACCCAAGATTCCTCATCCGGCTAGCTGAGGTCAGAGCAGAGCCCTAGTCAGTGGTCTAGCTGCAAAAGCCTTCCTCTGCCTGATGCCCCACACCCACAGAGGACTCACAGAGGCTAGGAGCAAATACACCCTACTCTCTGCATCTTCTAAGACCTACAGATACCAGGTAACCAACCCATGGATTCCAAATTTCCAGGGAGAATGAAAGGGAGTCT